ACTGTACTACTGCTGCTTCAGTTACTATTCCTGCAGATACAAGAGCCAAAGATGAATCATTCGGAAAACTACAAGATTCTGATTTTCTGTTTCATCCATGAGTTGGGAAATAAAGAGCTCGCGTTAAAGAATTATTGATCTTTGATGATCTCCATGATGAACTGGGCTCCCTATTCTCATCATCCCTTGTTGAGTCTTTCTACTGGTTAGTCACGTTAAATGCTTTGAAAGTATTTTCTTAGGGTTATGTAGGTGATTGGATATTGGTAGGTGCGACCGGTGCTATTCTTATAGGAGTGGGGTTACTACAAAGAAGCTTGGGAGATGTTATTAGAGACGAAGCCCAACTACCTTCTGCTTCTAGTGCAAGAACAGCAAGTATATGAAGAGTGTGGTTATATACAAATTACTAACAAGAAATATATTTATTAGAAAAGAGAAGCCAATAGATCTAAACGTTTTCTTGACCCTAAAAAGAGACCCCCTTCTTCTAATAAACCATAAGTCTGCTTCATCGGCATTTCATCTTATTTGGGAAATTATAGTTTTGTCGTCGTCGATTCGGTTCAAGATATGCAAAACGTACAAAAGAAAATTGTAGACCTTTATGTTCCTAGAAAATGGTAAGAATACAGTTGTACTTGTATTTTTATGTTACTATATCTATTATAGTGCTGCTTCCAACCGCATAATCACGGCAAAGGACCATGCTTCCGTCCAAATATCTATCGCTCAAGTCGATGCGGAAGGTCGAGTAACAGGAGAAACAACGACATTTGCTTTAAGTGGCTTTACTAGAACCAAGGGTTTGTCCGATTCAGCTGTCAACCAAATCTGTGAAGAAAAAGGACTATTGAACGACCTCAAGTAGAATATGGGTATCTTCCTTGAACAATCGTGGCTTGTCCTCAAAAAGTAGGATGAACAACTCTTATTGGAAAGATAAACAAAAAGTGTTTATGATAGTTTTCCATATTTCATATGTATATATATTTCTGCCCACTTGGATATACTTAAAAGCATACAAACCGACGAAGTTTACTAACCATCCTCGTTTGACTCGCGCTTCTTCCTTTAACGACAACTCTCTTCAACAAAGTTTCCAAAAACCATACTCAATACCAACCTCCTGAGTCTTCCCTTTTGTTTCTCTTATAGGAGACAATAGACCCTTCTTGACCAGCAGTAGCTTCTAAACACTCACAGTTTGAGTATAATCTATACACTAAGCACTTACCTCTAGTTAATGGCACATCAAAGCTCAGATTCTGGAAAAGTTTCGGTTTCCTCTCTTCAGCTTGGTGGTAATTATAAGAGTTGCGCTTTTCAGAGAAATCCAACATTCTGTTCACTCCATCAGGTGACACCATTCTCTCAGCAACAGAAGGACAAGAGTTTTCCACAGTAGTACGTGAAATACAAGCTGAAAACGGAGTTGAAGAACTTGTTTCATTCAAAGAAGAAGGGCAGTTTGTCGATGATTTTTCTAGTTTTGGCGTTGTGCTTTCCAATGATTCCGGCGTTAAACCTCTAATCTTTCCAAACTGGTACTGATATTCTTTCAAGGCATTATGTTGTTTTTCTTCCAACTCTTTTTGCTTTTGTACCTTTTCTTGAAGTTCTCTCGTTGAAGATACTTTATAGTCCTCAGGGTGAAGTATTCGTGACATGGTAATCTCCCCAAAGTTGCAATATCATTTCCTTTCTTGAGATTTTCATTCCAACACAACTTCCTTGAATGATTTTCAGCCTTGTTGGAAGTTGAATATGTTTATTTGTTGTGGTTGTTGTCAACAAAAGAGAAAGCTTGGTCACTATTTCCTGAAAATACATCTTGAAACATTCAATTCTATTGGAGTATCTAGGAATGATAGCATTATTGCCTTTCTCAAGCAATAGAAGAGGAGCCTTAATGAGAGTGTCTCTTAAAAAATCATAGAGAATAGATTATCTAGACATTTTAGTCACAACGCAATAGTTGTAAAGTTTCCTTTGAACAAGGACATTCTTCCCCGATGATGATGGATATTGAGCGGGAAATTTTTCATTTGATCATTTCGCAGCTACCAAAGAGGCACCTTTCTTTTCCTTTCTATACTTTCAGGAAATGTCTTTGAAAAAGAAAAAGTCAAAGCAAAATTCTTATTGTTTTCGTGCGGCTACTTTTCTGGTTGCTTTTTGCATAGGTCTCGTATTTCTTTCCTTCTCTACTCTTGATAAGGGTGAAATAGCTATTCGGTATTCCACACATCGAGCTATTCCCAACCGATATGTGTTATACGACTCTCGCTATGGAAGTTTCAACAATCAATTAAACAGTCTCATCAACTCACTAGTTATTGCTAAAAACTTAAACGCCACTTTGGTATTGGGGTATGCATATACACCTGGTGGTGGTCATGCGTTGCGAGATGATCGACATTCCAACCATTCTTATCTCGTTGGACATTATTTTGATGCCAAGTTATTGAACAGTGTGCAACCAATATTAGAAATGGATGACTATTTAAAGCTTTATGATTCAAAACGTTCGTTGAGTCTCTTCGTTGAGTCTACTGAAGAGTCCAATCGAAATGGTGACTACTATCAAAGTTTAGGAGTGAATGTAACTATTCAAAGATGGTATGCACAAGATTCATTACATGTTTGTGAACGAATATTAGGTAGAGGGAAAAGAATATGGACAATTTGTCAAGGTGAGATGGTTAACATCGAATATCCATGTTTTTGAAATGTTGAAACCAATAGGACAACAAAAGAAAGATTGCGATACGATTCTTTTAGGATTCTCTTTTACCAATCTATACAATTGTACATGGTATGATGAGTGGTGGTATCAAGTTCGTAACTTTATTCGACCAAAGGATGTTATTCAACAATCTATTCAAGAGTTTGTCAGTCAAGTTCGTCATCCTCTTTTAGTGGTTCATGTCAGGTTCGTTGGGGGATCAGATGCTGCCAATCATACTTTTTATTCCAATATCCTACAACATTTGAAACGATATGAATCCGAATACCAAGAAAACATTGGCTCCATTTATATGGTTGGAATGAAAGACAAGAGACAAAGTATTCGTGTGGATGAGTCCATACGATATCTTTCCAAAAGATTGACTCAAGTGGATTGGTACACCTGTGCCAATCTCACCAACTGCGCTGAAAGTAGTCATAGAAATCAATTCTATGATCAAGACAACTCTGCATTTCGAGGTTACTATGGTGTTATTCTATTAGATCAGTGGATGGGTGTCGAATCTGATTATTTTATTGGAAGGTCTGCATCAACATTTTCCCAAAATATCGTGTATTGGAGGAGCTTAAAAGGTGACTCTACTAATTATCTTCTTTATTAGCGAGTAGTGATTACGAATATATATATATATATATATATATATCGAGACCAGTATATTGATAAACGGAAATAATATTTTTAGTTCACAACTTCATCAAAGAGTTACATACGTGCGCAACAAATCTCTGGCCAAATCTACTGAACCAGAACGACAATAAATATGAGCCAAATTGTATGCGGCTTCTCTCCGAAGGTCGTGACTAGCAGGTATAGAACAATCCATGCACAGAATCTCTCGATAGAAAACAGATGCTTGATGAAAGATACCTATGTTCATGAGGGTTCTCTCCCTATTGAATATATAATATGATGCACATACCAAGAAAATGAAAAGCTCTCGCAATATTGTATTTGGTTTCCATCAATGCCAAATGAGAATGACTAGACCATTGCTCTTTACGCAGTGTACTATAATGAAATAAAAATGTGAATGCTTCCAATACTGTTCGATGACGATTGGCAACTCTTCTACTCATTGCAGAAAATAAATATTGTAATCCTAAACGACTGTTAAGAATGAACTACAAAGTCCATTTCAACTTACCTATACAAAGACAAGGTAATGGATGCTTGGGTAAGTGTCCAAATGCTCGAAAATATTCAGCCAATGCATAACCAAATGAACCTCTCATGGAACATATATGAGCAGTTACTAAAATGGCAGGAATTGAAGTTGGATGACGATGTAACAAACGAATCTAGTGCAGTCATCAGCTTCCTTCCAAAACAGTTTCATTGTTTTACACCAACCGCAAATTTCAAAGTCTTGGTATCTTCCTTTGATCCCAAAAAAGAAGTTCTCATCAAAAGTGCCCAAATAGAAACAGAATAAGGTCTTTCCAAACATAAATTACGAAGACCTTCATAAGCACCTTCATAATCCTTTCCATCATAAGCTCCTGCAACTGCAAATATATGGAGACGTTTGCGATCATTTTCATTTTGTATCTATTCAACCACAATCTATCAACAATAGCTCTTTTCTCAAAACCACACAATCTTACTTGACCACTTTGAATAAGACTACGCACCAATCGACAGGCTTCAGCATTCCTACCCAATTCACACATACTTCGCCAACAACGTTCTAATAAGTGAACAAACGCAGATTCACCCAATATCTATCCAACTACATATGAGAACTAATAAGAGAATTGTATTCTGCTTACCGTTGAAATAACCGAACCCATTTCTGCCACTCCAAACTGGATTTCTTTCTTCTCCCAATTTCTTTCTTTCTTATCTTTCGACTTTCTAAATGTCAACAGAAAATGACTACTCGATGAGTGATTGGATATTTCATCAGGCTCCGTGACTTCTTCCTTTCCTTTATCACCTTGACCCAACAATGGGACTTGTTGCAAGGTATTCGTTTCTTCTTGTATCCTCGTACGCATTCGAGGATCTGCACTAGCTTCCAACAAGGGCAATATTGCTTCTACAAAATCCAAAAGTCTTCCTTCACTGTAATATCTTTCTGCTCTATCCAAAATGCTCTTTACAGTTTCACTCGCATATGTATAAATGGCTTCCAATCTTTCGCCTCTATGTTTTCCAGATATATTCTGCATTTTAGAAACAAGTTCTGCAGCTTTATCCAATTCTCCCATTTGTTCATAAATATAGGACATTCCAAGACAAGCCTATTCATATAGTCACGATCAATAAGAATATCACGAAATGATTGTTGGTTTTGAAACCATTCATTCTCTACTTACTTCTAATCGATTAGGATCTTTTGATAGTACCTTCTCATACCAACCCAAGGCTTCATCAAAATGTTGAAGTATCTTACAACAACGACCCAAATTGAGAAATATTTCTTCTTCATTCTCCACATTCAACGTCAGTAACTTTCGACAAATTTCCATGGCTTCTTCGACATAACCTGAATCTGTGTAAGCATCTGCAAGTTGTTTCAAATAAAATGGAGTTTGTTCAAGGTGTTGCAATAAATATCGACGAATTCTTTACCAAATGAGTAATCAGAAAAAGTCACATCCACACAACACACTTACTTGTCAGCAACATGTGGTTGACCCAAACGAATATAACAAATAGCATAATTGACTTGTAAATCAAAAGGCATTTCTTCTTTCAAAAAGAAATGGAATCTTGCGTGGCTTAGCAATGCGGCAGCTCTTTCATATTCATTTTCTTCCATCAACAAACGGCTTTGCATTTGATACAATTCCAAAGAAAATTCATCTACATTATCCAAAGTATGTTGAAGCACTTGAATAGCATGGATAGGATATTCCGCATCATAATAATATTGAGCAACTTGGAGAGCTAATAACAAAATAGTTGGCTTGTGAAATATTCTTTTATCACTCAACTTACCTAATGCAATATCTTTTGGATACATTCGAGCAACTTTTTCTAAGCCTTGAGCTGCTCTTCTCCAATCCCTTTTTATGATATATAGATTGGCTCTTGCTCTCAAAGCCTGTTCATCTTTCCCTCCACTAGCTTTGACTGCCTTGGATAAACAATATATAGCCAAGTCCAAGTTTTTTAATTCTTGACTTTTTACTGCCAATTGTTTCCACATATCGATGTCTCGAGGAGTTAAGTGTGCAGCAATGAGAGCAAAATCCAGTGCTTTCTGGGTTTCTCCCTTATTTTCAAATATCACACTCAGTGTATGATACGGTGCAGCTACTTTAGGAGCTTCTTTTATGATGTGCTCGAGTATTTCGATGGCTTGTTCGTATCTTCCTTCCACAAACGCCAAGTTTGCTTCTCCCATAAAGGATTGCAAGTTTTTAGGAACCGTCGAAGAAGTACTTGATTTCCTTCCTCCTTTTTTTCGCGGCCATTCTTCGCGAATATCACTTACAGAAGCACCGAATACTTGTCTTCTTGAAACGGTGTCTTGTTCTTGAGTATCATCTTCTTCTATCGTCCAAGGAAGATACTGAGACACTATAGTTGGTTGTTCTATAGAGTCGCTAGAATGTACAGAGTTTGTTTCATCTGACTCACTTGTTTCAAAAGGAAAGGCATCCAGTTTTCTATTCAACTCTGATTGCCATACATAAAAACTCATAACAACAACAAAAAATTCCAACAGGATTGCCAATCATGGATAAGATGATAATACTAGTTGGGTTGTTGAGTCTTTTGTTGTTTATGGAAAGTACAGAATCAGGTCCATCCATAGAATATCTTAGTTATGATGAGATAGTAAAAGGTTTACACGATTTGCAACACCAATATCCCGATGTTGTTCGTTTATATAGTTCTCAAGACGCCTTTCAACTTGCTTCCGTGGGTCGTTGTGGAGTGCAACAGGAACCTTGTACTATATGGATTGTAGAGTTGGTCAATCGTACTGGCAAATCCCCACAACAAGTAATGAATATATCTTGTGTTTTTTTTGGACCATTTGCTGATATATATATATATATTCTTTCTAGTTGGCACAGTTACCTGAAATGTTGGTTTCCGGAGAACTTCATGGAGATGAGCCTATTGGAACATTGTCCAGTTATTATTTCATCAAGACCTTAGTAGAACATAGTCCTAGAGATCCTTGGTTATCCATGTTATTGAATACTAGAATGGTTACCGTGATTCCTATGACCAATGCTGTGGGATATTCTCATGGAGTGAGAGGAGAGTCAGAACAAGGCACCGATTATCTTGGTATGGATCCCAATAGAGACTTTCCTTTTGATCAAGAACCAAACAATTGTATGAGAACTGTGGCAGCGAGAACTATTTATTCCTTATTTCATCGACATTTGTTTCAAATATTATTAACATTTCATGGAGGCACCAATGTGTTGAGTTATGAATGGGGAGATACGAAACATTGTTCATCTACATTGCCATGTGAACCATGTCCTGATTCTGAGATAATGCATTTGATAGCCAACAAGTTACAACAAGTTTCCGGTTCAGCAGGTGATTATGAGACTCCTTATGTTATAGGTGATATGGGTTCACAAGTTTATCCTGTTCGTGGAGGTTTAGAAGATTGGGCATATGGAGCGAGTTGGAGTGATGTTAGTGGATATTGTTTATGGAGTCCTTCCACAGCCACCAATATTTCCAATCGTTGTATTGCCTATCTTATTGAAACGAGTCACAATAAACATCCATCTAATTCTACTTTGGGATATTATGATTGGCCTATGATTCGTGAAAGGGATGGCCATATTCCACGCAATATTCGATTGTCACTTGTAGCTATGGAGTTGTTGAAACCTTTTATTTATTTGATTGGATGGGGAGAGCCTTTAGGGAGGAATGTGATGAATGGAGGATGGAATGATCGAATCATGAATAGCAGATGGAGTGAACGAAGACCTTTGAATAAGGATAGAATGGATGAGTTTTTATGGGTTTGGTGGGTTGGAGGAGGTTTAGTTGTACATGAGACTTGGATTCAGTTTGCGACAGCTAAGGAGGATTCCATTTCCTTACATGGCTCAACTATGAAACAGAATAATACGAGTGAATGGATGGATCCCTTTATGAATGATACTTTGAGTGGCTATTTATTCCATGATTCCATCAATTTAACTCAATTATTGTTACAAGTTGGTAAAGAACATGCTATTTATTTCAGAGGATGGTTATCGATGGATCGATATGAAGAGAATGTACAAAGTCATTGGATACAGGCAAGAAACAATGATAGTTGGTTTGGTTCTATTCCAGGACATGTGATAAGTGGACAAAGTTATTATGTGAGTGATTGTGTACGAATAGAGTGGAAGAAGAACGAAGATGTATATGAAATAAGTAAGGTGGATGCGGACCAATTGCAATGGAATAGGGATGAAGAATATCCCACTCGATTGGAAAAGAATTTGTCTATTTGGAGTTGGTTGAAATGGGTTTTATTGGCCATTGTTTTAGGTCCTGGAACATTTCCTTTATTGGGTTGTATTGGAGTTGGATGTTTAAGACTTTTTGGAATAAGAATGCCTCGTATAACTATACAACGTATATGGAGTCATTGGATATCTAAAAGAGCTACTACAGAGAATAATTCATCGGTTTATTATCCTATGCAGTCTTCATCATCATCATCATCACCACCAGAAGAAGAAGAAGAAGGCTTATGGAATGAAAAACTTGTCAAATAAAATACTTTTTGTTGGGAAAAAGATTGATTCTTATGTGGGCAAAAGAAAATGAAAACTTGGGTCATCACAGCCACTTACAACAACTGACAAGTGGCTATGTTGATACTCATAAAGTGGTGGATGAGGAAGAAGCAAGTTGTTCCGAGTCTTCTCTCTTTTTACCTTGTGAGTCTAGTTGGGAGGAACCATCTTCCCTGGTTGCCAACTCGGAACTGACGGGATATGAGACACCTCCACAAAATATGAATACTGTTGTGGAGGAAGATTCTAAACTATTTCCAACGAGTCCAATGACTTGGGACTCGAATGAATTACAACAAGCACTGAATGGACAACCTTTGGAAGAACAAAGGTCTGCGAATGAAACAAGTCAACTTGCAGTGGAAACAACTACAGCAGACTCTCTACCTTGTACTATCTCAGTGGAAGCAAGTAGCCCTCCTCTTCTATCTTCCTCATCTTCTTCGTCTCCTCTCTTCATAGAAGGAAAAATGAATAGACAACATCTCGGTTGTTTGCCTTTTAAAGATTTCGTGAAAACTTCCAAGGAAACTGATGCAGCAGACGGGGGAAACACTTGTTCTTATACAAAACTATTTGAAAGAGGAAATGTAATGGATAGTAAAGATGCTAACAGATGGAATCCAAAAGATACTCTTTACAAGGAAGACTCATCGGATTCTATAGAAACTAGGCACTCGAGTACCGATGGTATATCCAAGGCTCCTATTTATATAACAGAAAAATGTACAACTGCTAGTTCTATCGATAAGCCCACTTTAAAACAAGCAAAACTGACAGATTGTTGCGGAATTATGTAGGAATGATTGACTTGTCTGTAAATAGTATGAGAATAAGATGCAACTAAAAGAATAGGATCCTTATGATATATATATATATATATATATATATATATATATATATAAATGCATATCGTTCAATAGGGCAATTCGATATGAATATTTTGTTGTCGACATTGCTCTCGTATATCGTTGGCAACGGTTGACCACTGACTCCAATAACGACTAGACTTGGGATTAGCCGGTGATGGGTGTGGAAGCATACCCACAGCACAAATATGACCTATAACATCACAACATACTTGATATGAAAACTTGCCAAGACCAAACACAAAAACTGGTCTCATCCAATCGACCAACTGTAAAAGACAAATATTGCACCTATCCAACAACTCTGATTGGCTTTTACCACGTAACTGATCAGGAGTAATATTCTTTCCACTAGAAGACATAAAGGATAGAGGACAGTAATTATAAACAAATGCCCAAGAAAAAAAATTCTCACTAGTCGTCCAACCTTGACGAGCCCAACCCCAAAATCTTTGACCAGAAACTTCTTTTCTAGGACAAAGCAAACCTAGAATGGGTCGTTTCGGATGAACCTGCTTTGGCAGAGCCTCTTTTCGTAACTCTCCACGAATATGGAACCAATCCTTTACTGTGGTGACATCACCAAAAGGGATACCACTTTGTACCATCCCAAAAGGTCCAGGATTCATTCCAACAAATAAAATACGTGCTGTTGGGAGAAAATATCGTCGAACATATTCTTGATGCAAAGGCCATGCATATTCTAGAGGTGAATATTGATAACTCACTGGAGGAGGAAAACGAAGGCTTCTCAAGTCCTTGACAAGGGTACTTTCCCATTCTAGCAAACGTTCTGCTCCTTGTGTACTAGAAGACATGAAAGGAATAGTGTTTTGGGTGGTCTTACAAGTAAACGAAAATAAATAACGACACTTCAAGTTGTTGGTTTTATACAACGATGACCATGGCCATGTCCCCCATCCCAACATCTAACAAAACACAAATATTAAAAAAAAGAGAATTTTCAGTGTCCTTCTGTGGAAAACTTTTCTAAACTCTTTAAAACTTCATAAAGTTGAAAAGTATACTCCCATTCTTCTGTCATACGCTTTGTTGCTTCCCTGTCTCGTTCTTGAGTCAATAATGAGTCTTCCAGGAGTTTGGCTTCCTCTTCTAAACACTCTACTTGTTCCAACGTCTGTAAAATTTGTTGAGTCTTATTCGCTGTCCCATCCAACAGTAAGTAAGTACTCAGAAAAATACAAAATTGAGTTAGCTGAAAACTTACTGATGTCCGTTGCTAGCTGAGTAACTGACTCTCGAAAACTCTCCTTGTCCCTTTGAATAAAGTGTTGATGGGTGAAAAAAGAAAAGGGTTTATGGCTTACTGTAAAGTGGTACTTTCTTGACAACTACCTGCTTCAGCAAGCGAACGGGGTGTCGTCGCTTCAGTCATAACAGCATCGCGTTGCGTAACGCCTATGCCTGTAAACATAGCAACTGAAAGTTGCCGAATTTCTCGGTGAAGTTCTGAAATGGTGTCATTCATCGTCTACAAATAGCAAATATAAAAACTAGCCACCAACGACCATGTTCAATTTAAAAAAACAGTGCCTAGTAAAATATTTTAATGTCAGTCCAATTCTTCAGCATGATAAAAGCAAAACAAAATTGCAAAGTATGTTTATGCCATCAAATAAACCAAAAAAATTTCAAGTAAAAAAATTAAGAGGATAAATTATAAATTTATAATATTGTTAATTTTTGGAAAGGTATCAAAGAGAAAAAGAGCAATCTGGCAAAAGGTAGAATTAACGTTTCGAAATATTTCTACGTTCAAGAGAAAACGAATTTATACAAAGAACGTAAGCACAGTTCATTATTAATTTTTTAACACAAGATCGATAAATTGAAATCGTTTTTTACTTAAAAAAGCAAAAATTTAAATTGACTCCAATAAAACAGATTTTTACAAAGAAATAAGCTCAGAGAGATTTATATTATTTGACGGCTATACATTATTTTAATGTTTTGACAGGTATTCAAAACTACGCTTACATACTTGATTTATTTTAAAAAAAGATGGCTTTAATAGCTTTCAGTCTCTCAACTAAAGCTATACTGAAAATTGATATTTGATAATAATTCGCCTTTTCATTGATGAAAAAAGATCGATTTTATTTTAATTGCCTCCATATTAAAATTGTAAAACATTTCTTTCCTACTCATAAAATATTCATTTACATTAAACCGAAGCGGAAAACATCTCCAATCTGAAAAGTGAAGTAATCAAGATGATGTGGCAAAGTCCTCATTTGGTGATATAGATGATTAACTACCATCGGAAGAAACAATAACAAATCGGTATATAATAAGAGAAAGGAAAGAGTGGAATTTTTAAGACACTAAGACGAACCAACTTGATTGTTTTTAGTTGCTTTTCTTTGAGACTTTGTGGCCTCTGACTGCTTCTGTGTCGGATATGAGACTGACCTGACATCAGACATCGACTCAGCACTGTTTAGGCCTTCTGACATTGATGGGAGATCTATCGCTTCCTTCGGTGCATGAGTTTTCGACGCATACGCCGATTTTTTCGAAGTGGCCCTGGCCGTTAACTTCTTTCCTCGGAAGTTTTCTATATCTGCTTCTTTCCATCCTCTACATGCTGGAAACATACTATTTAACAATTTCTGAAAACGAGTTTTGTACTTTTTGTTTTTCCTGTATTTTCGAAACATATGAACCAAATAGAGAATTTCCAGGTCGTCATTATGAGCTTTGATCTCTCTCGCACTCGCCTGCCTCTTCGTTTCAGTAGTTGAAACCTTATTTAACAAGTTTGTTCTTCGAATTCTTGCATCATGTTTGGCAGTACGCAGTCTCCATTGAAGGTCTCTAATCCTCGACTGAACATAATCATCGTCTTCAGGTTGAAGGAGACCCAGCTTTTGAAGTTGCTCCTTAATTCTTTCTTCAAATACTTCTTGATAATATCTTTGTGTGTCTCTATCACTAAAACCTTTCCAAAGCGGTTCTTCTTGCGAACTTCCTTTAATCTTTGTAGTAGTTGACGCTATAGAATCACCATCTCCAGTGTCAATGAGGGCCGCAACCACTCGTTGGGTAAAGGGGAAACTGTTCAAGGTTGCTTGTTTTCTTTCGGCCAAACCCTATTTTTACCACATTAGATGGAACTATTCAAAATTCGTAAGAAGCTTACTTGTTCCGAGTTGCGGTCGGGGTGTTGATAACCCCCAACTGGAGGAAGTTCCAAGTATGGGTCATTGCCACCACAAGTTTTAAGAGATTTTAAAAACGCTACATCAGTCTTATGAAAAGGTCGAAAGTACTATTCAAAATAAGCAAATTTTAAAAAAGCTTCCCATCAATTAAAAACCTTACAGGTTCGACCTCCTTCCAATAAGGATCGTGTTCTTCAACTCGCAGAGGGTCAAAGGAATCCTCGAACAAGGCCATTTTAGAAAAGTTCTTAATACAACACTGACAACTTGTTATTATCAGCAAGTATTCGGGTCGTTATTCCATAACAAGAAAATTGCTGCCTTTCCCCGAAAGGTTATCATCGAGTCACAAATAATGATGATTGGCTTTTTAGAAAGTTGCTCCTGCTATCATGTATTTGCTGTACTTTAAACTATTTTCTCCAGACGAATATTTTTGATCCTGTAATCTTTCTCTTTAAATGTTGTGTATTCGAACCATCATCCGTTGCATTCCTCTGTGGAGTTGCTGTAGAATTTCCAACACTATACAGTGCTGTGACCGCGTTGTACCATCCCTCTGGTTGACTGTTGACACTAAGTGTTCGAGACTTTTCCATATAAGCGTTGGAGTTGGAAATTATAAACGTCTTGGTTTATTTCGATCTTCGTTATTCATGTACAGAAGACACTTTTGTCGTCGTTGGTCGTGTACCATTATTGAGAAACAAGGTTCTTTGAATAATCTCGAACAGTCTTCTCTCAACAGTTTGAAAGAGTTGAGTTTGGAAGAGCTATTGGAGAATCTCTCTTGTCAGGAGTTATATGGAGAGGAACCGGAAGTCTCCATTCCACCAGTTACGAAGCAGTTGTTAGGAAGGAAATCTGGTTCCAAGTGGACTTCTTCCGGAGTCTTCCATGTAGCAGATGATGTCAATCGCTGGTTTGATTTGAATCCTCGAACTAGTCATTCTTATGCAACGTTGTTGAAAATATTGGGTTTATTAGGTCAAACGGAACTCATCGATTTCTATTTAGAAGAAATGAAACGGCAGAAAATAGTTATTACTGAGGAAGTTGTTACAGCAGCAGCAAGTAGTTTTGCATTATGTCATCAGTGTGATGAAGTGAAGAAACTTTTGCTAGTTGCCAAGGAAGAAGGAATCGTTCCTAGTGAGTCACTAATATCTGTCACTATTCTTTCTCTTATGAGGTCTGGATACTTTGAAGATGCCATTCGAGTTCTTGCTACTGGTCGATTGGAAGATATTGAATTTGATATTTGTTTTAAAAAAGAGAACGATGAAGAGACGAATATTCTTAGTCCAGTTGTCGATATTCAGCATTGTATGCAATCTGAAGAAACTTTTTCCGATGCTTTAAAGAGAATTCCAGATTGCTATGATATCGTTACTTGGACATGTCTCTTAAAAGGCCTATTTGACAAAGGTCGTTATTCATTTTGTTTAACTGCCTTTGAACATTTGTTAAGTAGAGGAAAGGAGTTGGATTCTTTTGCTTTTGATATTGCAGTTCAATCTTGTGATAAGTTGAGACTGATTTCACGTGCAGTTGAAATTCACCAGCTTTTAAAGTCAACACATCCATCGAAGCTTAACAGTGCTATTTATTCTTCTTTGATATCTTGTGCTGCCAGTTGTGCCGATCATAGAGCTGCAGAGAGTTTCTATGAAGATGCTGTTTCCAGAAAGATAGCGTTGACCTATCGTGCTTACTTTCACTTGTTGAGAGTTTATGGTCGAACAGGCCAACATAGAAAGGCCATTTATGTTTATCATTCTTTGCGTTTTTTACCAAGAAGGACTTTGCCAAGTGTCCATGATTGGTTTCTATTGTTTTTATCGCTTCGAGTTGCTGTTCAAAGAACTCGCAATAGATATCTTTCTCAACCTTGCACTCAGTATGCAACAGAATTGGAAAATATTCGCAACGAAGTGAACGAGATTGCAGATAAGATGTTGGAACAAGGTCGTTTGCTTTCTGGACAATCTAAACATTTATATGGCGTCATGGAACGTTATTTGAATATCAAAATGGAAGTCGCAAGATGGGATGACGCTTTACAAGTATTGAAAACAATTTCACTCGATCCTAATTTGCCTATTCATTGGAGAAGTACTCGTTTTAGGTTGTTTGTGTCATGGAGTCGTTATTTATTGGCAGTCGCAGTTTCAGAGGAACAAATATGGCAAACGTTACAAACAATGGAATCTTGTCATATCGAGTTGAATGAGCCTTGTGTAATGGCAGCTGTTCAAGGATTTGTAAAGATGAGACAACCTGAAGCTGCTCTAGAAGTATTGCAGCGTCCTTTTTCAGTGATCGAGCAAGTAGAAAGAAGACATCATCTTGAAGAAGGAAACCCTATTCGATGGATACATTCACAACGAGTAATAACTTTACGTAAATTGTACCTCTTTTTGAAACAGTATCATCCGAAACTGTTAGATAGTTTCTGGAATATTTTAGAAGAAAAGGGATTGACTCCTTTTGTGAACGATTCTTGTATAGATTGATTGGATTGTCAAACTACTAGCTCATTGAAACTGTATAAAGGAAGCCAATTATGACATTGTCATCAACTGAAGACTTGCAACAGTTTACCACCAGTGATGGGGTAAAAATTAGTTATGTTGTGCAAGGGAGTGGACGTCCTATTGTGCTTCTGCACGGCTGGTCTGGAAGTCATAAGAGTTTTTCAAAGAACGTTCCTGTTTTGTCTCAGAGTTTTAAAGTAATCGGTAAGAAAGTGAGTATTGGAAAGGCCAAGCTGAGTTTCGTTTTCAATCTTATGGATATTAGCACCAGACCTTCGTGGGCACGGTGCTTCAGATAAACCCAAACATGGTTTTCACGTGGCAAGATTGGCAGCTGATCTGAACGAGTTGTTGGATCACTTGTCCATTGATAAGGATGGATCCAAGTCGGGACTTGTTGTCTTGGGTTGCTCGTTAGGTGCTGCTGTTATTTGGTAGTGGACTTTCATTTTGACATTTTGTGCTGTTGACAGAACCTGTTTCGTAGGTCTTTTGTAGAGTTGTTTAGTTGTAAGCGGCTTGGAGCTGGAATATTTGTGGATCAATCTCCGTATCAGTTACAGTCTTTTGATGGTTCCTGGAAACTTGGGTAGGCACTCTCTCAAAGCTGTAGATTCAAGTTGTACTGATAGAGTGAAAAGGTCAAAGACTCTTCCCGATTATGCCTCCCTGGTTCATCTACAGGCAGCCTTAAAAATGCAGCCGGACGCAGTATTTAGCCAAATGATACATGACTGCTTGTTCCGTGAGCCAAGTAAGAAAGAAATGGAATACTTTGTTTCGATATCCAAAGAAGCAGATGCATACTTTTTGGGCAAGTTGATGGAAGATCATGCACAGCTGGACTGGAGGTCGACTTTACCTCTGTTGCAGTGTCCTTGTCTAGTGATATATGGTGTACAAAGTAAAATATTTCCAGAGGACGCAGCCTTATATCTCGCTGACAAGTTACCTCGAAAAATGCTTCAAGAGTTCAAGTTTGCAGGACACTGGCCTTATTATGAAATGCCAGAAAGATTTAACGATGTCGTCAATGACTTTATCCGAAATCGAATGCAGCAATTATAGAAAGCTTTTTGTATTGACTCAAGACGTGTTTTGAATAAACATTATGTCTTCATGCTAAGCGTCTTCCAAGAAAAACAATCTGTGATATAATGACTGCTATTCTGAACAATGAGCACTCCAAATATTGTAGTTTCCAGTCACAAAGAAGTCTTTTAAGTTAGGAGCACGCACGCACTATTGCAAGACAGCTTCTCCGAACTGATTCAAATCCAAGGAAAGTACACCAGAACACGACCTATCCTGTTAATTTTGTTCAAGAAATGTAGGATAGTGGATATTCAATGAATGGCTTACCATATCACGATAGATTCCAATCAGGGAATCTGCCATTTCATAGAACTTATCTTTCAACGAAATGACAACGTATTGTTCTTTGGGCGAGTTCATTCTTGACCGTTGTAAAATAAATCTTGCAACCTTTTTTATGTCAGTTGCAATCCACTAAGACGCGAACAAATAATACCTTGTCAAGATTATCGCGATCTAAAGCAGCATCTACTTCGTCAAGTACAATAAATGGAGAAGGTCGATAGGCCTGTATAGCAAAAATCAAGGCAAGAGCAGCAAGGGTCTTTTCTCCACCGCTTAATTGTTCCATATCACGAAATCGTTTAGCAGGAGGCATCGCATGATATTTAATTCCATATAAATAGGGCTCTTCATAGTTTTCTAATGCTAAATAAGCAGTACCACCCAATTGAGAAACTGAAGTTCGTGTAAGTTCTTTGTATACTCGATCAATGTTCGCAGAAACAACATTGAAACAAGAAAGAAAACGCTTCCTTCGTTCTTCACGAATCTTTTGAAACTTTCGAGTCGCTTCCATCGCCTCTTGTCTTGTTGCTTCGTATTTCTGTACAACCTCTTCTATTCGAGTCTTAACACTCAGCAACTTATCACTAGCAAGTAGATTGGGAGCAATTTTATCCAATTCGCTAACAATCTGATGCTCGTTCTCCTCCATTTCGTTGATAACCTTTGCAAAATCATCATCGGTCTTGCAGTCACGATATCTTCTACTCAGATTATCAAAGTCCAACTAAAAGTTAGATACAAGTTAAGGCAACTGATTTTGAAAATGGGACTTGATAAATACCTCATCGTCTTCGGGAATAGCATCGTCATCAGTTAATATACGATTATCTGCGAATAATTATCAGTAAATTGTTTACAACAGAATAATTAAGAAAAAAGACCTTTTAAAGGTATCGAAGTTTCATTCAACAAGCAACTGCGCAGCAACTCCGAACGTGCAAGTTTTAGTTCGTTGAATTCCTCTTGTTTGTTACCCAGCTGTTTCTCAGACAAATTGATCTGTTCTTGAATACCTATGAGCTGTTTTCTCAAATTCCTACTTCTCTCATTTTCTTGCTCAAATCTTGTCACTATAAGTACGACAAAAACTGCTGCATCTTGTTCAAAAACTTACGATGAGGACAGATTTTGCAAAGTCGCACGAAGACTGACAACTTCTCTTTCAAGTTGCTCTAGTTGCTTCCTGGCTGACTCCTCTTCTTGTAAAATGGATAGGCTTGATTCTTCAGTTGAACTTATCTCAGCACTTAAAATTTTCAAACGTTCTTGGGCTGCTCGGAGTGAATCATTTTCGTACTCCAGACGCCTGGAAAGTTTTACTTTTTGTGTGTCTAACTTGTTCCTTTTCTCAGAGAGATTCTCAAGTCCTTGAATATATTTCTAAACAAGTCTCTTCAGATATCAAACGGAAAATCTAATGACATCACTTACTTGTTCAAAAGTAGAACTGTCTGATAAACCAAATTTGGTGAGGAAATTTGAGAATGTTTGGTTCTCGTAGTTACGAATTTGCTGCGCAATAATCTGAACTTGTTGTGTTATATCCGAAAATTTTCGGTTCTTGTCGTCGAGTTCATATCGCAACTTGTCAACGTTAACATTGAGATTTGTCGAAAGTTCTCCCGAAAGCTGCCTCTTTCGCCTCTTCAACGAGTCGAGTTCTCTTTCCAGTACTTCGACCTGACTTTGTCGATTACTTATGTCGTTTGCTATCTTTTCTATTTTATCGTCAAGTCTAGATATGTTTGCAGTTGTAAGATGGGAGAGTTCGTCAAGAATGGCTCCTTGTTGCGTTCGCAATTCTTCTATCCTCTGACGTTGAGTGCTTTTGTCAGCTTCTTCAGCATCAAAGTATCCTCCAGTGATAAAGCCAGACTTGTTAATTACGGTTCCATCAAGACTGCATAGCTAAAAAAGTAACTCAGTAATTTTCATATTAATGTTCCAGTTTACCTAACCTTAATACGTCTCCTTTGCTCACGTTTCACTCTAGAGAATACCTGACGTGCTTCTTCAAGAGAATCACATATTACAGTGGAGCCTGCAGCATAACGCATAGCAGACAAATATTGTGGCTGACAGTTTAAAACATCCGCTAAAAGTTTGCAACTGCCGCCAAGTCTTCGGAGGTCTTCTTGTATTGGCTTTGGCCTTATATCGGCAAGTGGAAGGAACAACATGGAGCCTAAGCGCTGCTGTTTCAAGTAAGAAATACATTCAGCTCCGGTCTGACTGTTGTCAACCACAACGGCATCCAAGAAGTTGCCAAACACTACTTGAAAGGCGGTTCGATATTTGCTTTGGATAGGATAGACCAAGTCACGAAGTTTCCCTTTAATACCCGGGAAAACTCTTTTCATTACTGTGAATGCCTCCTCCATCTTTGTTTGAACATTATTCTGACATTCTATTGAGATTTTGGTCTAGCGACTTATTGAATAGCACTTACTTCATGTAAAATAGCTCCACATTCGATGAGTTCATTTTGTATAACTCGTAACGTTTGTTCCAGTTGCCTTCTTCGATCAAGCATTTCATTTCGTTGCGTTATCATTTGCTGCTTCTCCAAAGTTTTCGATTCTGCGTCTTCTCTCATTTGTTCAAGTTTGTTATAAGCTCTCTTAATTTGATCTTCTATTTTGTCTTTTTCTGCAATGCATGCGTCCTTATAGCTCTCAAATGACGAAGCTTTCTTATCGCAGAAGCTATCTTACCTGTTTAGAAATCGCTTGTTCTAGCTTTTGTTCGAGTCCTCTCTTTTGCTGGGACAACAACTGTTCATTTCGTTGCAATGTTTCTAATTCCTGCTTCAAAAAAGACGTTTTAGAAGCGACCTCACGCTTAAGATTCTTGTATATTTCGTAATCCTCCAAAGATAAGGTACATTCGGTCTTTGCATTAGCAATGTCTTGCACAGTTATTTGTATTGCTTGCTCAATATCTTCTAGAGTTTCCCGAAGTTTTGAAATCTCAGATTCTGTGGTAGAAATCTTTTCTTGTAGCGCGGCCTGGCTTCTCTACATAACGTTTTTTTACGAGAATAAACGAAGTTGACAAAGGTATACTTACCTTTTTGTTTGCAAGTTGCTTATCGATTTCTTGTTTCTGACTTTCTTTAGTGGTTTGGAGAAGATGAAGATTTTCGACTTCTTGTAAGAGACGTTCAAGTTTCTTTTGAGTCGCTGCCTTAGACTTGGAAGCATTTGCCGATATCGTTCGTTGCTGCTGTAGCTTTAATTCAGTATCTTGTAAGCTTTCCTTATTCGATTCAATCTCATGTTGTAATTTCTTCAAATCGTTCTCCAATTGAGTTCTCTGAATGCTGAATTTGTAGAGTTGCAAAAGGCTTTTAGTAGATTTCACTCGATTAAGTCTTTCTTCTAGTTCTCGATAATGCTGAGCTTCTGCAGACTGCTCTTTATATCTTTTCCGTTCAGATGACAAAGCTTTTCGTTGCTGAAAGAATAAAGCGGACTCTTCATCTAGTCTTTGCTTTTGCTGAAGAGCTTCTTCATACTGTGCTTTCAGGTCGATAGAATCCGATAATTCTTCAAACATTGCGGTTAAATCTTTCGGAGTTTTGAACGCTACGCTTTCTATTTGATTCTGAAATACGAGAAAAGTTTGTGCATTATTTCTCAAACCAAGTTTCGCAAGAATTGCAAAATATTCATGCTGCAAAACTTTCTTTTCAGCAATTGCATAGTCGGAAGTTCCTTCTCCGGTTATGGTTCGTGACAGAGTCAAAAGTAATTGCTCGTCGTCTTTCAATCTTGAGACGTGTTCCGATAGTTCGAGACTGATTGCTTCTTCTTCTTCTATCGAAAATATTACCCTTACGGTTGCAAATATCTTTCCTTTGGAGTATTTCTCACGTATATTGTTCGATATAAGGTCTTCAAGTTTCTTTCCTCTCACAGAGGACGCTCTGCAACCCAGAGCAAAAGAAAGTGCGTCCATAAAGTTTGATTTTCCACAACCATTGGGACCCACAACTGCATTAAAACCTCCTTTTGTTTCTATACGAACTTTGGGGTGATATGTCTTGAAGTTTTCAAGTTCTAAAGCTCGCAGGACAACCATGAAAGAAGAATGTACTTTCAAATCGGAATGGAAAAATTGGCGCCCACTCATATTTTAGCGCCTTTTCTGCGGTTCTTGAATTAAATCTATCACAAAACGCCCCCAAAATGTCAAACGAGCTGAGGAAACTTTTATTTGCTGTCTAGAAAGCGCCTTGTAGAATTTATCGAAAATTCAAATGTTTGCAAGTAATTTGAAATTGTTATAACTTAGGTTTATACTTCCACAACTTGTCTGTTCAAGTTTCTTACCTAAATAGAGAGGAAACTGGTTTTCTTTCTCTGCTCCCGAAGTTTTTCCTACTTGAACCATATTGAGTTGTACAGAGAAAGCAGATCGAGGGACTGATCTTCGAATCCTCAAATGTCGTTTGAGATTCCCTAGTGTTTTTTGCTTTATATCTTTCTAATTTTTTTAAAAACATAAACTGAAATGTCCATTGTATATATAATGCATCGTTTGTTCTCTGAGTGAAACGGATATGATTGGAGAAAAATGCAACAAGGGGACTGTAAGGTTTGGCGCCAATTCTACATGTTGCTCATTATTCATGAGAGAACAGCCAAAATGTTCAATGTGGTCAGGAAATAGTTCCAATAAACCAAAATGGTTCCACGTTCATCAACAAAGCTTTCAACATTGAGTCAGCTTCCGTTTCTTACTTTGCTCATAGCCATGTTATGGTTTTCAGACCATTCGAAGAGTTGTTGCAAAACCAGTCTTCAGCCTAACCATAAGCAAACATCACAAACAGTGGTATGCCCTTATCCACTGACCGCTATATCGTCGAAAATGACTGTGGTTCTAAAAATTTTGAAAAGGTTCCTATCTCTCATAAGAACGATTCTTATGACGTAGATATGCATTTGAAACATTTCATCGTTCCAGATACTGTTCATTTTATTTTTGGCTTACGAGAGGACTTTGATGGAAAACCTTATAGCCTTGTTCAATTTCTTTCTGTCTTAAGCGTCAAACTGCGCTTAAATCCGACAAATATGATTTTACACTATGCATTCGAACCTTCTGGTATCTGGTGGAATGCTACAAAAGAACTGGTTACTTTGAGAAAAGTCATAGTATGTGGAAAATATATGAAAAGTGCTTTCACGGATTCTCATTCACGTTCTATTAATCAGGCACCTACTCATGTATGTGGAAGGCCCCTATTTTCAGCTGCTCATAGAGCGGATTACCTTCGGTTGGAAATACTTCATCAATTTGGAGGAATCTACGTGGTGAACTCAACATATCCATCCACTTCATGAACTGAGTCTGAACATAAAACCTTAGGATATGGATGTTCTCGTTCTGAAACCATTTCATTTTCTTCGACAATACGACTTTTCCCTTGGTGAGGAGGGTGTCAATGCTTCAGTGGTAACCTAGTTTCTCAAAAAAGTCTAGTTTGTCTCAACTTTTTACAGGGCTTAGGAAATGCTGTGTTGATTGCAAGGAAAGGAGCTCCATTCGTGAAAAGATGGAGAGCTGAATACTGTCGACATTATGATTCTTCGCATTGGAATCACTATTCGGTAAGGATCTTTTGGTTCTTCATTCATCCTCCAATGGACTCTATACAAAGGTAATGCTCCCACATCGCATCTATCGAACATTTCCAGGCGAAGCTAATGTTCTACCACATCATGCCTTTTATATGCCTCTATGGGATACAGTCGGTTTAAGCGAATTGTATTTCAATACGAGTCAAGGTAAAAGATAGTCATCAATTGTAGTCATCGAGGACAAAGTTCACGATTTATAGGAGACGAAACAGAGAATCATTTGGCTATACATTTATGGAGTGAAAAGGTAGTCATTTCACTCCCTTGTCCTATGATATCTCTCCTTGTTCACAAGAATTATTTTAGGCCAAAAATATTCAAAGTCAAATGTTTTTCGATCACATTTTTGTGAAAGGCAAAGGAATGTTCCATTACACAGCTCAAAGAATCATACAAGACATGATGTTGGAGAGAGGGCAAAATTGTCCTCAACTGATGGTGACACCCTACTGGAGATCACTATTCGCTCATGTTCACCAGGAATCGTCCATGTTTTGAGGTACCAGGCTTCTTACTTTGCGATACCTTAGATATTCGTAAATGTCAGCCACGATTAGCAATAAAGTCAAATTCTAGCACTATTTCTCGTTGCTTATCATCCAAACGTTTTGTACAAAGAAAGCAACTTCGTTGTAGCTTGTGGGACAATCCCGATATAGAGGAACTGGAAGATTGTAGAGTGGAAGTAATTCGACCTTACAGTAAATATTACGTAGATAAACAAGTTTATTATTACAAAGGAAAGTATTATCGCATTTCAGATATCGGATTAGGAGAACAATGGTATGCTCTGATACTGGATGATAACGAACCAACTGACTTGGTAGGTTGTAGTGTTTTTTTTAGAAAGTTTGTCCACTAACTATAAGAGAGACTCCGGAAAGATTTAAAGGTCTTAAAACGGTTCAAAAGATAAAGCTAGTTTTCCAAGCTCTACTGAGTGTCGTTGTGGGTGCAGTTGTTTGGGCAGGATGGAATATTCTATTTGCTAGTATATCAACATTTCTTGTGGTGGTGACTGCCATATCGTTTTTTATTGGAGTTGCCCTTTTCGTAGTTATCTGGACCATAAATCAACTCGAGAATAAGTTTGTTGGAAAATAAATATCGAATAACAACATATAACGCGTCAAATTTATTAAATGTTGATATTGAAAGAAAGACCTAGATTGCCTGGTCCAACACCAGCAGTAAAACCTTGATATACTTCATGTCAACTAAGTAACACCAAGAACAGTGCAGTTACCCACCTCCGGGACCTAGATAGCCAGCTGATTCATCAGGAACCATAGAAATCTGAATGGAGGTTCGATGCTGTTGATAACCAACGGAGATGTTAACATCTGTCTCAGGTGGACGATATGCTGCACCAAAATTCCAATTGCCACCAGAACCTCCATATTGCTGTTGTTGAATAGCCTGCATTTGTGCTTGCTGCATCTGCAAATATTGTAATGCAGAGGCTTGTTGTTGAGCGGCCTATATACATGATCAATATCCACATACAATATACATGTTTTCATTCATTACCTGTATTTGCTGTGCTATCAATTGCTTGCGACGCGAAGAAATTTCGTGCATTGTATTTTGCAAGTCCGTTCTTTCCGTATTGTATGACCAATCACTGCCAGGTCGAATGGAGTCCTCTGCTTCTCGAACAAACATACTGTCGGCAGTAAAGAACGCGAAGTCACTTGGGACCTTTGGATATTCACTTTAAATCAAAAAGCCACATAATATCCGGAAACAAACCTCTTCTGAAGATAAGGAAGCCTTAAATTGCGACAATGCATTTTCACGCAAAACTTGCAATTGTTTGACAAAAACTGCATTTAGAGAGGTGTCAATAATTGCTTCAAGTTCTCTTCGTTTTCGAGACACCAATGCATTCGAGGACACACTATCAAAAAAATAACGTACTTTTAGAATTGTAACCAAGAGTCAATATAGACTTACTCAGAGACGGCGTTGTCAAATCTAGTCAGGCACTGATTAACCAAGTCTCGAAACTTGGAACCGAGATTGGAGATTTTCTCGCCATCCTCTAAGTTTCGTAACAACTTGGACTAGACGAGGTCTTTTCAGTATCCTCTGAAAAAATAACTTTCAACTAACCGTCTCCTTCGCAATATCACGCAAGATATCTGACGTAGCTTCCTCACATTTATACGCCGCTGTCAACTCAGCTTGACCTGCTTCTACGTCACCAGAAGAGAGGATTTCCGCGTTTTCATATACGCTTTCCCAAAGATTTTTCGAAAATGCCGCAAAACCATCTGCAGGTATTCCTATTCCCACTAAACAGTTAGTAGAAAACAAAAATCGAAGAAAATATTGTTGCCTTTGCTATATTCCGAACGCAAATAAAACTTAGGATGCGATTCTTGAAGAAAATGATCCTTCAGCTCTTTGCATTTGTTCTCAAACTGCTCGCTTTCGTATTGCATGTGAGGTAAGGCGAACAAATCAAAATCAAAAAAGTCTTCGAGCTTAGCATCCACAGCTTCTCCAGTCTTTGGGATTGTGTTCCAGATATCTCGAGCCTATTTATCACAAATTTCATTTTTAAGAATTCTATATGGAAAACTTATCAAACCCCTTGCAACAAAATATCCTTCAACTCTTCCGACGTATAAGAAGGATCGGTATCTCGAACAACGAAGCACATCAAAGTTTTGATAGCACCACCTTCTGCTGCTGCCTTTGCCGCTTCCACAAAAATGGCACGTAACAATGAATAACTTGCTGCCTCTGTTCTACCAACATCATGAAACCACAAGTTGATGAGAACCACATCGGAAATGGCTGACGCAAAACCTGCTATTCTTGATTGAAAAGCCTTTCCAGACACTCCTCTCTCTCTACTGTCGCCTCCTTTGAATCTAAGTTAGCGCCACCGCAAAGCTACAAGTTTGTCTGAATACCTTCCACGTCCATGACTACGAGTAAGCTGTTTTGTGGACATTTTGCCACGTGAACACCCTTGGTAGTTGCTCTCCCAAAATTTCGTTTGTCTGCAATCAAAAAGTTGGTCTGAAATAGTTTATTCAGTAAGGTACTCTTTCCGGAACCCTGATAAACTTCGTGTTCAAACCTCGCACCACCCAACTACGGAAAGAACACTTACTTGACATCCCAAAATAGAAACAACAGCGTATGCTTCCGATCCCAACTCCTGATCTTCCGGAAACCAGAAAGGAGCGTCCAAAACAACTCCTTCACTATCTACTATCTGAATAAAGGACATGGCTTTTCCTTCGAGTTATCGACCAACACAATTTTCAATTCCGGAGATTAAGAAAGCAACTGAACGAATGAATGGGTGGATAAGAAGCCAGTCATTGAGACTATGTTGCAAAAGAAAAAAAAAAAGAAAAGGCGCGCATAAAGAATAAAATTAAAATTTTTTATACAAAAAACTATTTGAACGCTTCTTCAACAAAAGACAACTCTTCTTTCAGGTACCCTGATAACCCTCTACAGAGAATGAGTTCATTGTCGGCTGTTTTCAAGCCACTCTTACTTCATTTTTGCCTTTAATAAGCCAAGTTCAACAGTCTCTTCTGCAACCAAACACGCCAAGAAATCTTCCACTTTAGCCACACATATCTTACCCTTCTAAAACTTTACAATGAGGAGCCTTCAACACAAGAAAGAACGTGGCTACGTACTGCACAATCCAACATAAGGTAATCCTCTCCTATTCCTTCCCCCACGTAGAAGTTTCTCGCACGATCCTATGCTCGGAGCTCACTGTGTTTTTTTAACAAGAATAACACAAACTACATACTTCCAAAATCGACCAAGTACCGGCTACAAGTGCTCCAACGGAAGACCTGTAAAACTACTATTATTTAGAAGAGTCAACCAAAAACAAGTCATACCAGTTGTTTTCAACCAAGTCTGTACTTGGCTTGTCATCCTGGAAAAAAATCGTTGGTTTTCAATACACACAGATAATGACAAAGAATAGCACCTCGTTAGGTATACTTGCACCTGCTACCAAAGAACCGTCGTTAGCAAGTAACAACGCAATATACAGACCACCAGTTAACGTAGTTTTCAGTATTTCAGATATTTTAGAAGGCTGAATCAGATGAACTACTTGAGCATTGGTTTCTTGCATGCTATCCACGAAAACTCAATTCTAAAGAATGACGCATTCTCATTGATCGAATAGGATGTGATGTTGTTTGTGGTGTGTTGGTTTTTGGCAGCTAATAATAGGGGTCTTGTTCATTGTTGCCGAAGAGTTCAAAAACAACAAGGAAAACCTTCCTTTGCAACTATTTCTAGGCCGTCTAAGTCGCTTTTCTTGAGAACTTATTATTCAACAAAATTGTCTCGTTGTGATAGAGCTCGAATTGCTGTCGATGCAACTTTCGAGAAACAATCCAACGAAGTAACTCAAATTAAGAGACATCTTCGGAAAATGTTAACCTATCTTATCAATATGTCGCCACAACGGAGAAGGATATTCGCACTAATTCGTGGTTTGGAGGGACGTTATTCACCTCCGAGTTCTGTGGAATCACTAGTACAACAGCTGCAAGGGGACTGGAAACTAGTCTTTAGTTCCACTACACTCGGAATTCCTTCAAGAGAGTTGGTTGTTTTGAGTGTGACCCAAACTTTGGGAGTAGGCAAATTGCGCGAAAATGGATGCTTCGAAATCATTATGGTAAACAAGTGCCGGTGGAACTACGTACAACAAGGAGCTCATGGACTTTTGGAAATATTTTGTGTGTTGACTTTTTTGGGGCGTTGTCGTTTTATGTGCCGGGTATCGGATTACCGTATGGAGACTCATGATCAAGTCAAGGCAACAGAGGCTCGTTCTATAGTGGCTTACCTGCAACGTAATCTTCCTCGAGAATTTTTCGATCCAAATAACTGTATGCTGCAAGTTAGTTTTGTGGATAATGAGTTGAGAATTGTAAAATGGTTGGGCAAAAGATTTGCTGGTGTTCGCAACATTTTTTATAGGTGTGATGACAAGGAAATTTCCTAATATCATGACACCCGGCTGCAGTTTGCACCAAGATGAAGACAATCCGTGTAAAGAAGCCTCACCAAAAAGTGGGAAGTAATGGCAAGTTGTTTTATATATTTTCATTCGAAATATATTCTATTCGAGCATGATCTTTCAGGAAATCTATGGTTTTCGAATGTTTCAAGTCGGTTTGGATTCTTTCCTCGGTAGCTGCCCAGTCCACTTCCTATGTGAGATTAAGAAAATGGGATATGTGTCAACAATACAAAAGCCTCTTACTTTTTCATTCATCTCTTCCTCAACTTTCTTCAACTCCTGAGCAACTTCTTCATTATTCGGCACTAGTTGTTCTCTCCTTGCAATTTCTTGCAATGCAAACCAAACTTTCAATTCTTTCAAAGTGGCTGTCCAAGTCTCCTGTTTATATTTTTGATAAGTTTCTTGAGTCAATGACTTATTCATCGTTTCTTCACCCACTCCTTGCTCCTTCATTTCCGTCAGAAGATTGGCAAATTTCCGTTGCGAGTGTTCTTCTGCCACTTGTTGCGGTATTTCCAATTCTACTATTTCTGCTAAGGAATCTTCCAAAGCTCTTTCCAAATGACTATCATTCACTTTGTGTATTTCTACTCCCAACTGCTTCGTTATTGCATCGCGAAGCTCCTGTGAGGAAGAATAATGGGTGTGATTCTTTACCAATGAATCATCCAGAGGAGGCAATTCCTTTCGCTTCAATTCTTTTATCGAGATATCAAAAATAGCTGATATTCCTCTCAAGTCTTGACGTTTGGCATTGTCCGGAAATTTTAATGGAATACTAACGGTCTCTCCAACATGAGCCCCTATAAGTCCTTCCTTTAAACCTTCCATATAATTTCCTCGTTCCATATCCACTTCAGCTTCTGAATCGGATACCAAGTGCGAAAGAGATGCACCTTTCGTACCATCGGGATTGGCATACCAAGCTTTGATATCAACAACTACGGTATGATTATGGCCAGCAACAGTTTCATCTGAAACAGTCACCCAGTTGGCGTTTCTCTCTTGTAGCTCTAAAAGTGTATTCTCGACCATACTTGACTGAAAAACTTCTCGATTTACCTTTAAGTGCAAACCCTTGTAGTCATCTTTGAAGTTGACAAGAGGGTACGTTTCAAACTGGTGCATTTATTGTTTAGCTTCCTTGTCATAAAAAAAAAGTTGACTTACGACAAACTGAAAAGAGAACGGACGACCAGGCTCGAAAGTATTCACAATCTCCTCCTCATTATCACTCAAAGTTGCTTTGCTAAGAGGTGTATAACTTTCTTTTGTAAGTACTTGCCTCACTGTTTCTTGTATCAACTCTCTACAAGCCTTGGACGCTACTGTCGAACCCACTTGATTGATCAACACAGGTCTAGGAACTTTTCCTTTACGGAATCCAGGTACTATTGCTGTCTTTGAATACTCCGATAGTTGACTTTCAAAGCATTGTTTAGTTCGAAACCCGCTCACTCGTACGTGAATACACAACTAGTATGGAAGCGGTTAACGATATTCAACCAACCAAAGAGTTCTTACCTTGGAACCAGGCAACCGCTTCTCTTCAACAATCTCATAAGATTGTTCTTCCAAGTCAGGAACGCTTTCTGTTTTAACATTACAAGTGAACGTTCTAGTGACACACCGAACGCTATGTCCCCTTTCAAGTTTCAACCTGAGAACTTTTCGAGGGCAAAAACTAGTGTATTGCGAACAAAAAAACTGCTGGGGATGGTTTGTGGTTTTATTACAAACACGACAAGGAAAACGTATGACATGTAGCACTGGGGACGACTGAAAACTCCACATTGCTGTCAATCCAGCTTTTCTCATACAATCCATCATTGTCATGGACTAGAGTATTGATATATGTCGACTAATGACACAACTGATAGAGAGAAATGATAAGATGTAGGTCGTTATATCTCTTGTTGTTGATCATTTCTGTTCTTTGAACATTGGGTTGTGCATGTCACATGGATAGAAAGTATCTAGAGATCATTTCGTCAACAGAATGACCATACTATTTTAAGATTTGCTATTTGTAAAGATTGAATAACATACGTTGAAAGAAAGGGATAAAGACCGATTTTCAACTACTTGAGGAGCCATATGGTTCTTAAGATGAGGAGAAAATGCGACAAAGATAAATTATCAAAAGGGAGATTGGTGGAGATCTCCTGGAAACCAACTGAACACTTCCAAGTAATGGAAAAACACGATACTTTTAAGGCTTTATCTTTTTGTAACAGTTGTTTGATACCTATTCGTAGACCCTGTCATGGCTTGGCATTCAGGAATACCAAGTTTCCAAGCAGAAACCAAAGTTGGTGGAAGGGAAGAAACGTCACCTTGGCCATGGAAACTTCAGGTGAAGGGGAGCTTCGAGAATCTCCATATGCGTTGTACAAGGGAGAAGTTGTGAACTCTCCGGACCCTAAGAATGCCATGGACTTTTTTCGCCTTCGAGAAGGTCATTGGAGTTCTTGGAGAGTGACCCACCACCTTGCTTTTCGTCGAGACGAACAAGGCGTATCCGATATCACTATGAAAGTATTGGAGAAGAGCGACCCAAGAATTGTCGAATTATGTGAAGCTCACCATCTGGATCCTTCCCTTGCAGCGGGTGGATGCTACGTAGAGTGGGCTGCTCAATTGTCGTGGGACCAAGAAGGAGAAAATCATGAAGGATCTACTGTCTTTGCTATTGTTCCCGATGACGCTCATTGTTGTAGTGGTAAGTTATTGAGAGACAGAGGATATGCAGAGATTGTGCAGGTCGCTGGGACGTTTAGGTTGACTCCTAGTAAAGAACTAGTGTTGCATACTCCATATGATGGAGGCGATGTAGAAGAAACTTTTTCTTTTATTGGCAAAGACTTAGTAATTCGTTCAAGTACGGTGAAAAGATTTGGAGGATTTTCAACTGCTACCTTTTCAACAGAGCGTCGAAAGGACGTGGCAAGTGTAAAAGATGGGATTGTATTTACAGAAGAAATGATGCCTTTTGGAGGGCCCTCAATGGCATCCCAAATGAAGGAACCCAATGAAAGACCAAAGAATCCGTATCAAAATATGAATCAGCGCACTTTCCAATCAACGGGAGCCCTGGACTTCCTGAACGAGGGTGCGTGAAACAAGGAACAGAAGACCTCGGAAAATGACACGTGGTCACGTCGCGTTGAATTTCTCCGGACCGAGTGTAGAATATTCATGATGTTTGAAGAACAAAGTTATCTTTTTGATGAAATTCTTTTTAAAAAATAAAAATGACATCCATAGCACAGGTTCCCTCTGCAAAGAGAACAAAGTTGCCATTTGGTGAGTCGTGGGTCTTGGAAATTGTTTGTTTCTGCGTACTTGCCACGGCCTCAAACTTACTTGGTTGACCATTTCAGCTTTCCCTTACTAGAGCAGTTTTCAACTGACTGGTTATCTTGCCGGTTAAAGTTGTGAGAAGCTGTTGGATTCTTTCTCAGAATCAAGCTGGAGATTCTTCTGTTCTATGCCAACAGTTGTTGTTTTTTATCTGAAATTCTCAGTTACTGGCAGACAAGTTTCGTCTCAAGAGTTTCTCTAGTCAAGACGGGGCGCAAAAAGAATCAAGCCAGAATATCTTACTTTAGCACAAGTGATGCACAAGCAGCAGTGTTGAATACAAGTTGGGAATCCCGTCGTGGAAGTCAGTCAAGCTCGAGTTCTACTTTTCATGAAATACGTTTGCAGAAATATGAAGACGAAACTTGGGAATCGGGAATACAAGGCCTTCAATATATAACACCAGAAGATCATGACGTCGGCACTTATTCACCTATCGTGGGATTCTCCTGGAATATGGGTCTGGACTCATCATTTCTATTGGATTCTACAAGTAAGAGAATTTCGTTCCATTCGGAGAGTGAAGATAAGCAAGAATTCAAGAATACAAATGTAATGCAGTCGAAACCATCTGTTGGTTTCTCAACGACAAGTATGGATGAAACATTATCAGAAGATATTTATTTTCATCAGGAAGCTACACGATGTAAAAAGAAACCCCTTTGTACTTCTTCCTCAATGACTAGACGACCCCTGAAACGTAACATTCCCCTTGGAACAAAGGTAAGAGTAGCATTCGATTGAGTAACAAGTCAGAATATCATTGAAAACAAATATAAGAAATGTAGTCAATGTCAAACTCATATTCCAGCTGCTATTGCTACTTGTACTTATTGTGGATATTCTTTTCGGATCAAAAAAGAGTTGAAAAAGTCGTCAAGTGGAGAGAGAGGAAAGAAGGTAAGAATGGTTTGCCATACTAGTACATATCATAAGTTGCTATTCTTTTTTGTTGTTCCAGTTGTGTCCCAATTGTCAAGACAAGTTGCCAGCTGCTAAAGCAACTTGTCCCACGTGTAACTATATATTTCGCAAAAAAATCATCATGAAAACCAACAAGTAGTGAAATAGTCACTTTGGAAAGCTAGTCTATTTGATACGAGTTAGACTGTTTCCTATAAGACTTTTATAAATTGTGCGCTCAGAGCCTTTCAAGTTGCTGCACAAGTTCTTTTCTCTCGGAATACTTTAACAGAAACTTTTTACACGCTCGTAAAGTTCCTCCCACGTGTACAACTGTAAAGTCAATCTTTCCGTAAAATAATTTTGCAGGCAATATAGCGAGGCATCCCAAAAGAGGTTTGAGTTGAGAACGGCTTACTCTTAGAATGGCAAAGCTACCTAAAGAACTCCAATACTTTACCGCTAAACTGAAAAGAATCTTCCCATAAATAACATCCCCGAAGAACTCTTGTATAGTATCTCTGACAGCTTGCACAAAATATTTACTCGTTGGGAACGTAGTTTCTAAAGTTTCAGACTTTGTATAAAACTCGATGACAAGATATCGATTCTTCAATCGTACCATTTCTTGTCTCTTTCACAATAAAATTCCATTGCTCTTTTTCACATCGTTTTATTTTATATCAACAACTTTGTCCGAAAGAACAACGAGTCAATCAACTCTTGTTGTGCTCTTTTACGACAGAGTTTTTCGTCAAATCCCTAAACAATCACAATTAAAGTTTCCAATACACTGCAACTGACTTACGGAAGCTCTTGTACGTTTGCTTTCATCCCACCTCATCGTCTCTCAAAGGAACGGGCATAGGCCTATGCGACCACGTTGCTATTAGTATTGAACTCCATAGAAAAAAGCACATACTTTGCTGGTCTTGCAGGATCCAAAAATATAAAACTGGGAAGTTGTTCGTTGTTCTCCGTATCCAATACTATTCCAATATATATATACATATATATATATTCAACGATAATAAAACTAGAAGACAGCTTAACCTACTTTGAACGTTTTCCAATATGTCTTGTCTACCAGTATCTTTGATATACTTTTTAAGTTTCTCCATACTTTCTTGGGTTTCATCTGAGTTTGTTCCTATCGTCCCAAGGTGTCTCTCACTTGGTTACTTTGAACTAGTTCTCTTACCTTCACTCAATTGGTACACAACATCTTCAAAAGCTTCCAAATAGTCGTTGAATTCTTCTTCGGTATTAAAGTCTTCTCTTTTCCTTTTGAATATCTTGCCTAGTCTTTTTCGAATAGCTAATTCTCTTTCTACTTGAATGGCATCATCATCCATCGTGTGATCATACAAAATAAAAAAAGAGTTTATCATTTCTATTTTATCATCCACGTGAAGTTACTCATTTTTCTAAAAAAAAGGATCCAACAAACCCACGTGCATCATACCAGACCCATCTTGTTTCCAAGCATAGTCCAACCTTATCATTTCAGCTATTCGCAAACCAACACCCTTTGACCAACCTAATCGTTTCGGATGTTTCCAAAATGAACCCGTTTCATCCAAACAATCATAAAAGAAAACTCCTGAAATGCGATCCACTATTGGAAACCGAAGTTCCCATGTTTGTTGTAAGGAAGATACGGCAGTACCCAATGCTCCAGTAGAATATCCACGAAGGGAACCCATACCTCCTAAACGATGTTTTTCCAACTCTGGCAAACTTTCACTCGCACTCTTTCCACTCACACCATATACCAATGTTGAACCTAATGGAAGCTTCAAATACTTGGCTATCTGAATATCTCCTTTGATAAATGAAGAGAAACTTTCATTCCATGGAATAGCATCCGACAAGTGAATAACCAAACGTTGACCACTTTGAACATTCTTCGGAGGATAACGATCATCATATGTAATACCTAAAGATATCATTCCTAAAAGATATTTGTTTATATCATAGGATGGTCTAGTAGAGTCTTCAGCTCCTAAAGGCATAGTTCGTTCCAAAGTGGATGAAAGATCAACAAACAAATGTTTTACTAAACGACTAAATACTTTGAATGTCAAACCACTTCGTGAACTCAAATGCTTCTCATCCAAGTCACGATAAACCTTAAACCGATAGCCAAACCATTGACCTACACGAGGATCCTCCCATTCCAAAGATAACAAAGAATGCTGAGATTGTCTCTTTTGTAGTTCAAATTGAAGAAACTGATTTCGTCCAAATAAATTGTTATCTTGAAAAGACAACTCTCCAAAAAATTCCCCAGAACCATATCCTATGCCAGGTTCAAAACGACTATAAGGACGTTCACGTACACGTAGAATAACCATAACAGATTGATCATCACGAAGCTCCAATTCTGCTCTGACATAGTCAAAAAGTCCCAATTCAGTAATTCGCTCCCAGTAACGATCACTCCAACGAAATACTTGGCCTCTTTGAATACCAACTGCCTTTTCAATGGTATCTGATTTTGTTCTGCCTTTGTTACAAGGTTCTCGATTGTCATCCAAATAGACTAGACGAATACCTGCAAAACGTGGTTCTATGGCTCGAAAACTTAAAACTCCATTCCGAAAAGGACCCGACTTGTTTATACGAGAAAACTTGTATCCATTTTCTTCATACCAAACGTTCAACGTCGTTATGACATCTTTCACAAGAACGGGATCTAACTTCTTTCCATATAAAGGTTCTACTGTCCTTCTAACTACATCTCGATTCAACACTCTAGAATCTTCAATCACGATCTTTCTCACTTTGCGATTCTATTGCTGAGCAATGAGTCGCTGTCAAGAAAGAAGAACATAATACTTACTTGTTCATCATCTTTGTTCATAAGACCTTCACTTGGTTTTGCAGAGTTGACTGATTCTCTTTTGACTAACTTGTTCAACCAGTCATTCAACGATAGCCCTCCAACAAGTAACAAGGAATGGTCTTCAGGATCTAGTGGGCTCTCTTCACTATGGAAAGATGATGAGAATGGAGGCTTTCCAGATCCTGAGCCATGAGAATAGGCACATTGTGAATATATATTTCTAGTTTGTTGAAAAGAAGAAATAATGCGATGCTTGCGCCGCTGTTGAGAGGAAACATTTTGTGGCTGTTTACAAACGAGTTTATCTCTCCTTCTATAACAGTCCAGTTGCACATGGCTAGTATTGTCTGCAAAAGAAACAAACTCTATCCAATGAGAGTTTTCGATAAGTTGCATTCGAGTCGTATTTACTTCATTCGTCGAAAACTAGCAAAGAAAGCATATGATGATCATCTCCCCTCTCTTTTCCCTCCTTTTTTGTTCTTCCCGAAGAGAGAAAAAATTTACGCTTCGGGTGAGGATTGAACTCACGACCTTATGATTAACAGTCATACGCTCTAACCAGCTGAGCTACCGAAGCCAACCTTCGCATTTTGTGCCAATAAGATTCCAAGACTGTGAGTGTTTGTAGTCTTTTATATATTCCTATCAAGTAAAGATATCATACCTATTGATTTTTTTTCATGAAATATAAAGCAAACTATAAGATACAACATATTATTTAGATATCATCACAACCCACGATTGTTGAAAGATATCGGATGCTTTCCAAACATTTGGTATACTTGGCAGTAGAGACGTTGGAAGAGTGTTCCAAGCGAGGAACCAGTTGTAAAAACGTATTGTATCAGTTACGAAAGGAGCGTAGACTAAGTGAGTAATATTGAACACTTGGGTTGCGAGGAGATTGTTGTTTAATCTTGGAGTTAGATGAACGGCAGTGGAAACTTTTGTATGCAGTCGTCATGCAGACTCGAAAGGTAGCGCATTGTTATCCGTCGATGAGAACATAATTCGTCATGTTGTATTTATAGTACGCAACGTTACTGAAAGAAACGGTGGAGTTGCTACCAGAATCTTTACAAAGCTCGCTCTATCGTTGTTTTGACTGTCGCCAGTGGTTGCTTTGGTTATTCTTGTATGATCTATTGTTAGGAAAGAATGAAATAGGAAGTACATTAGCAGATTCTGTAGTAGAGGTTTGCTCACAAGAAAATGTCTTACTACTGCGACAGTGTCTAGAAACCGCTAAAAACAGCATACCTTTGACAGATCAGCCTGCGTGGCTTGCAGAGAATATTTATGTGTAGGTATTAGTGTCAGAATGGCGGTTTTGCCTATTTTATGGATTCTAGATATGGCAGAGTCAATTATGTGAACAGTTCGATGGAGTCAGTGTTATCTAGTTTGGAAAGTTCGGGATATTGTGATGCGACACGTGGAGAACAAGTCATTGTGGAGAAAGACTCCAAAAGAAAGCAGCTTCCTCTAGAGTTTTACAAGTTCTGGTTAGACTCGGATGTATCTAGTCTACTTGTTTTTCCATGTCATTCAAGAATCGCAGAGCATCATTTGGTCAGATTGAGACGAGAATTGGTTATTCAAGACAAGGTACTTATCGTTCACACACAGAGTTAGTTATTATTCCCAAAGAATTGATAATAATAATAATAATGTTAGGCGAGTTGTCTTGTTGCACAAGGCTTTGATGCTCAACTTGGATGGAAAGTTGTCGATGCTTGTGCTTCTCCCGGTAATAAGTCGATGCACTTGATTTCAAAAGGAATTGAACAACATGGCGAAGCATTCTACCACAATCCAATAAAAGTGATTGCAATAGATCGAGACAAGAAAAGATTTGAACTATTGAATCGAACCATTCGTAATTGTGGTTATGAGTCGTATATTGATACCCAAAAAGTGGATTTTCTAGAATGGAATGATAAAGAATGTCAAGGCGTAAGTTGTGATATATATATATATATATATATGAATATAAATATTGTGGATAGATTATATTAGATCCATCCTGTTCAGGCTCAGGATTGATAAAGCGCAATTGGACGGATGGTTTGGATGAGAAAGGGACTAGACCTACAAGATTGAAACAGTTGAGTTTCTTTCAAAAGAAAATGTTGCGACATGCGCTTTGTGACTTTCCAAAATGTTGTCGAGTGTAAGGAATGATACATTTGTATATATATATATATATATACATATAATTATTGGAATAGCACATATTCTACTTGTAGTATATACAAGGAGGAGAATGAAATGGTGATTTATGAAGTATTACAACAAGTCAAAGGTACTTTTTTCATTTTTGAAATAGTACATGATAACATTATTACTATAAGACTTGGGTTGGAAATTGACTCGATTTCTTCCACAATGGCCACGTAGGGGTTCTCTTGATCCTTTGAATAGGGAAGAAGCAGCTGCCTGTGTTCGAACAGATCCGAGTAAGTTCTCTTAGAACGTATGATAGAATGATTGAATAGTATGTTGAATATAGAACTGGATCATACAAATGGGTTTTTCGTGGCTTGTTTCGAAAGAACGAAGACTCCCATTTCAGATAAGAAGAGAGTTGTTATCCAAGCTTCGGATTCCAGTCATTCTGCATATTCTTTGAAACGTAAGAAAACTTGAACATTGTTTGACTCAATAGAAATTCTAATAAATCACAACATTTCTTTTGTCCATTATATATGTTGTTGGCTCAAGTTTTCTATTTCTGGAGGGAGGGATTAGATGCAAAGTGCTCTTAGCTTGTTAGGTCTGGGCTCTTCTTGCTCCATTGTACTAGTAAGTTTTTGAAATACTCGAGTGCGATTGATTATCATACCAATCTTGAGAGGTTTTGGATGGTGCAGATGAAAGAAAGACAGCAATCATATATTCCCCAACCAGCCATAAGAGAATCGATGAACTTCCACTCTATGGAGAAACAGAAACTGTTAGTGGTAAAGTGAGTTGAATATTCCAACTACATACATAAAGGTGACTGATATTGTTTTCAAGGTAGTTATAGCTGTAAAGGAAGGCAAGTCTTTGCAACATATGGGAATTCGAATAGAGTTTATTGGAGCCATCGAAATGTATCGCTTTTGCTCCTTTTTCTATCTTTTATTCTATAAACTATATGTTTAGGTTGTATGATAGAGAAAGCTCGCAGGAGTTTACATCGCTTGTAAGAGAGTTGGAAGATCCAGGTATTCTGGTTGGAACCAAACAATATCCTTTTGCTTTTACTCAAGTAGAGAAAGCTTATGATACTTACAACGGAGTCAACGTGAGTGCTCTTTTTGGTATCGTTTTATGAATAGGAAGAAAAACAATTGCCACTCTTGTAGGTTCGATTGCGTTACTTTCTAAGAGTGACAGTTGAACGGCCTCCTTATATACCAAATATTGTTAAAGAATATGATATGGCAGTTGCTCACTTCCAAGAAGAACCGCAAGTCAACAATACTATAAGTAAGTTGCAAGATGAAGATAGAATAATCCATTGCTGAATAGGAAAAGGAATGGAAGTGGGAATTGAAGACTCTCTTCATATTGAATTTGAATATAAGAAAAGCAAGCTTCACTTATCAGATGTTGTGTTGGGAAAAGTATACTTCTTACAGGTATTTATGAATGAATGTTTGCCATATTAGCTTAGCATATAGAAACGATATCTTATCTAGGTTAGAATTAAGATAAAGAGAATGGAGTTGGAAATCAAAAGAAGAGAAAGTGCGGGTACAGGAGTTCATGCAGTGAATGAAATGGATACGCTCGCCAAATTTGAGGCAAGTAAAATATTCTTTGTGAAGAATTGGAACTGAACATGGTGTGAAGATTATGGATGGCTCTCCTGTGAGAGGCGAAAGTATTCCTGTAAGAATGTTCCTCTCAGCATATCCCAGTTTAACACCGTATGTCATGTGGAATATATGATGATTGTTGAAGAGTTGAACATCATTTTTAGGACTTACAAAAATGTCAACAACAAATTCTCTGTAAAGTATTTTCTCAATTTGGTGCTGGTAGGTTCATTCAACACTTGTTACTTTGCAAAGCTTATATATTGGTTTGTGGATAGGTAGACGAAGATGATAGGCGATACTTTAAACAACATGAAATATTTCTGTGGCGTACAGTGACAACTTCATAGAAACTAAGAAACTCTTTTTTAAAAAAGGAGAAAACACACTCGACCAACTAAAAGACTTTTTCATTTTCTTGACTCCACCAGTTCTCGACTGACCCTAATATTAAGTTGTTCTGCCAACTGTATGACTCGTTCATCACCATATCGACGCAAATATTTCAATAACCTAAGAAGTGAAGGTCCATTCAGTGGGCTTGTAAGTAAACAATAGAACCAATACCTTTTACGCTTGTTGACCATTCCTATTAAGCCTCGTATAGCGGCATAGTCGTGCTTGTGTTCTTTTGCGTGCTCCGTTAAGTGATTGATCCGTGCCGTGAGTCTAGCAACTTGCACTTCGGAAGACCCTGTGTCCTTTCCATGACGTTGGAACTCCTTCTCCAGTTGCTTCTGCTTCATGCTAATCACATTAGTCGTCTCAAAAAGTTGTAAAGATGGGTAAGTTACTTACTATAGTTTGTAACAAGAACGAGGTTCCAATTCCTCTTCCGTTGACTCTGTCGAGGAATGTTCCTCAAATGTGGCTTGGTTCTCGGTGGAATCTGCTCTACTTTGGGAGGACTCAGTAAATGTACTCGTTTCCCTTTCTATATTCAAACTGGTGTTTTCCAACTCTTGCTGGGCTTTCCAACTTGTAACATCTCTGCTCTTGTTTCCAGGTGGTCTCAGAAGAACAGTATTCAGGAAAGTTTTCCTGTTACGGATGGGAACAAAACTATTTCCTAGTGCTCGACGACACGAGTTGCAACTTGTAGACTTACAAGTATAGAAAAGAAAAGTTTGTGACGAGACAAAAGCCGAGTGATGATTCATGGGAAGATTATACAATTCGATCTGAACGGACGATGTTTGTTATTCATGGAAATACTTTCATGCCAAACTTGGTTCAGTATGAAAACTTTCCACTTTGATAATCTTGAAAAGCTTGTTTGATATCTTCTTGACTAGTCATTACAAAAGGTCCATATTGAACAATGGGCTCATTCAAAGGTTGTCCTGCTACTAACACAAAACGACAACCATCCTCTTTTGTTTGACAGATAATGGCATTATCTGCTCCATCATCCAATATCAATAATTCGTGTGCATTTCCAAGGCTAGCCTCCTTCCCGAACAATGCTTTGCCTTGTATCACGTATATAAATCCTCGATAATGTGGAGGTATTTCAGGCTTCAATTCACAACCAGGTTTCATTTCGATATCTAAAAACATACTGGGTGTTCGGGTATAAACTTTGCCTTGTACATCTTGGAAACGACCTGCAACTACTTTGACCATATAAAGATCAGTCGTTGCACAAGGTATATCCTTGGAAACCAACTCTTGATACTTTGGTTCTGCCATCTTATCTTTAGCAGCAAGATTAACCCAAAGTTGTAGGCCATGACCAACTTGATTTCCTTGAGGCATTTCACTGTGAATAATTCCTCTACCTGCAGTCATCCACTGAACATCTCCTGGTCCTATAACTCCCGAGTGCCCACGATTATCTTCGTGTCGAAAGAAACCTTCCAACATATAAGTAACTGTCTCAAATCCTCGGTGAGGATGGTCAGGAAAACCTGCTGGTGCTTTGACACTGAATTCGTCCAACATAAGAAAAGGGTCCAAGTTGCGAAGTGACGTAGTACCGATCGAACGAAACACACGAGCACCTTCTCCATCCATTTGTTCTCGAGGTTGTATCTTTTTTGAAATTTTTCTACCTGTACTAGCCATTACAATTGCTTCTCTTTGAAATATTTTCTGACTTTTTGAATAATAACAGCAACGCTTCACAAATAGACCACCAACAACAACACTCGATAGAAGAAACATTCAAGTTGTTCGAATAAATCCTTTGGACTGAGTTCTCCGATCGAATTGTCCATTGGAATATTCAGAAGGTGATTGAATACTATCTGTTTATTTGTATAGAAAAGATTCAAATGAAATCAATAAAAATGGTTATTCGTGCTACAAAGTATTATATATATATATATATTGAAGACCATTTCTTCCTTACATGCTTTATCACGCAAGACTCATCCATATAGAAAGTTCTTCTCTGCTATATCATCAATGAGCCATGAGAAACCTTGTACAACTCCAGTATTGTATAGAGCACTGCACAAATAAATATTCCAAGGTCGATCACAAAGTGTTGTTTCCAACTTGAAGGCTTCCACTAGTTTCTCTTTCACTATTTCAGGATTCCTGTCCAACTTATTGGCCAAAAGTAACAAAGGTGCACCAACAAGTCTCTGCAGTAACATTACGTATTCGTTGTTCTTTCAATAAAAGTAACACTACTCACCTCGTCTTGCAAAGTCTTATGCAGCTCTACTATACAATCGGAAAGACGTGTGCTATCAGCAATATCTACAACCCATATAATACCATCCGTTGATTCAAAGTAGTTTTTCCAGTATGAACGTAAAGACTCTTGACCTCCTATATCCCATATATGAATTTTGTAATCTTGATATTCTACTGTATGTATATCAAACCCAAAGGTGGGTCCAACGTCCGTAACATCTTGACGTAACAATCTTTTAGCTACCGTAGTTTTGCCTGAAGCATCTAATCCTCTATAAGAATGAATGAATATGGTTGTCTTCAAGCTACAGTCTCAAACCTACAGAAGAAGAATACGAAGTTCTCTTTCCTTGCGTTTACTCTTTCTTAGAATAGTCAATAATCCCATTTCCAATTGAATTTCCCGCCTTTTTCGTAATCATAATGGTTGGTTCTCATCTCATTTATTTGGACGAAATGAAAGACAAACTTTTTCATAGTAGGACATCTAATCGATAGAATAATTTCAACTCATTATACTCTTTCTCTGGTCATAAATTACAAACCCTAAAGTTTTCTAGATAAAAGTCTATCTCTTTCAATCACAAGTTGTCCATATTGTTTCTGTAATGAGAGTTCTCGTTCTTTTAGCTCTTTTGTAAGTCGCTCTTTTGAAAGCAATCTATCTTGTAATGCTGCTGCTTCTCTTTTTTCTGCACGTTCATAGCAGCTCTTGAGAATGATTAGCTCCTCTATTTGATCAATATGATCATTCAGTTCATTGTTCAAGTTCTCTAACCGTTTCCAATATCCACCATGATGGATATCAATATATTTCATAATCTGTTCAATATTAGCTTTCACATTGTTTTGAGCAGCAATGAGATGTTCCCATTCATGTCGTCTGCTGCCTACAACAACCTCCATGGACGCATTTGCTTCCTTTATAAAGCCTTGTAATGAACCACCATTTTCTTCCGAGAAAACTCCCAAATATGGATCATCCACATCGCAACAACTTTCGTATTCCCTGATCAAGTTTGCCAATCGTGACTTTTCTTCATCCACTTGTTTCATTGCTAGTTCAAAATATTCCTTGGGAACTTCATACATTGGATCAACCTTCAGCAATATCTGAAAGTCTTTTTCGGAAGACGAGTCAGCTTTCATTTCACGCATTAAATGACTTTGTTGTAACAAATAATTTACTTCATGAAGTATCAGCCTCTCAACAACACCAAGATTTTCTTCAGATGACCATCTCTTTCCTGAAGAAACAAAAGGCAAATCAAGTTGCTCAGCAGTCGGCCAAAACTTCTTCTCCTCTTCTCTCTTTCTTTCTTCTGCTCGTCTCTTTCTTTCCATTTCATCTCGAGCATCTTCAACACGACTAGAATCATCCATACCAACTTGTTCCTCCTCTCTATCCTCCTCAAGTTCATCGGAAACAGTCAACTTATACTCATTCTGTGGAGCGGGCAACAACTGCAGACCTTGCTGTAATTTCTTTCTCAAAAGTTTCATTCTTGCCTTTTCCTCCATATTTGAACTACTAATGGATCCTGAATGCCTTACCTCTTGACTAGGCAAATAAGAATACCTTGGCGAGGCAGACACTGAAGAAAAGGGACTTGGAGAAACTGCCGAAGGAGTCAACAAAGGATTGGGTGTCTGTATAGTTTTCTGCTTCGGAGTTAAACCTTGTGAAAAATTCATGTTGGTCAGAGGTAAATTTTCACCACCTTCTAAAGGAGTCTGCGAACTACTCATATGAAGAAGATCTCTTGCTTCTCTTCTCTTTGTCTCATTCCATGTCTCTAGTATAGGGGTTTGCGAGGCACTTTGTGGAGCGGTGGAAGATGGTGTATTCCAACCTCTACTGTAATGATGAGGAGTTGGAGTCTTGGAATAATCCGCAAGTAAGTTTTCGGTAACGCTCCTTTCTCCCACTCTTCCATACTGTTGATATTCTTCGGTAGCCAAAGAAGACTTACGAAGCATCTGTAGCTCCTCATCGTTGATTTGTGGTTCTGGCAACTTCAGAGCTGTTCGTTGAAAGCCTTTGAGAATCTGTTCTCTTTCTTTCTCATAATTATTCTTTAATGTTTCGGGTAGGTTTTGTTCCTCAAATAGTCTTCGTCGTTTGGCTTCCAGTTTCCTTGCGGCTGCCTCTTGATCTATACGACGCTTACCTTCATATTTCTCAATTAACTGACCCACTTCCCTTGGTTTCAGTTCCTTTGTTATATGTTCAGACTCTTTCTCTTCCTCAATTACGTCGAAAAACCCTGGAGGTGGTTTTTTCTCAAAAGGAATTTCTTCAACATAATTAAAACCTTTGATACGTATCCGAGTTCCAACTCTGAGACCTGCCGCTTTCAATTCTCTTTTCTTTTGTAGTATTGCTAGTCTCTTCGCTTCCTCCAGTTGTTTTTCTCTAGCCTTTCTTTTGGCCTTCTTGCCCTTGGTATTTGCAAGTCTAGCTCTTGCTTCCGACAGCATTTCCTTCTCATCTTCGTCCATATCTACCGGGTCTGGACGAGCAGGTCTCGTTTCCGGAGTTGGGTCAATTTCACCAGGACGAAGTTTCCTCAGTTCTTCACTTGAGCCTTCCGCTCCACCTTCTAGTTCTCTTTGTGCCTCATCAATAAGCCGTTCATAGTGTTCGAGGCATTGCGAAGCAGTTCTCCCGATAATGGGGGCTATTGTTCTCCACTGGTTGGGCATTACCTTTGCCAAGTGGAGCAATTTCTCTTCTTCTTCTCGAGTCCAGTCGGTTTTCTTTATACTAGGGTCTAACCACTCATACCATCTGGCCTTGCATTGTTTCGCGGACTTTCGTACAAGTAGAGACGAAATCCTAGCCCATTGGTTTTTTCCATATTTCATCACTGCTGCCTTGAGGATTTCATCCTCACTGTTTTTCCAAACTCCACCTTTAATAAAATACCTCATGACTTTATAGCAGCACGAACGACCACTCAAGATGTGGCTACCCAAAGTTTTCCTTTACACAAATGCAAAGAAATGGATGTGAGGGCAAAGACATGGAATGACTGTTATTCACATAGTCCATTCAACAATCATTTCTTAAAAGAAGCTATTGCTCTGAGGTTCAAAAGTCATTCTATTCGTAAGTTTATTTCAAAGTGGTGTGGTATTCTTCAAGCTTTTATCATAGAGTAAACCTCGAAAGAAATCAATCTCAAAATCTCTATTATTCCTTGTGGAAGCATCGAAGTCTTTCAAGATGATTGTCCAACCAAGTTTCGGCGAGTGAAGCTTACTTCTTGTAAAGCTAAGAATAATAGTTGACATGTTTCAAGTGGTAAATACAAAGTCGACACAAGGGAGAAACTCACCATCGGCACTGTTTCGTCAAAGTTCCGAGAATTTCCTCAGTGAAAGCTTCGAACAGGCTATGCGGACTTCTTCACCGAAGCCTCAGATAGACCCAGACTCTTTAGCTGAAGTAACGAATAATATGAAACAACAAAATAGTATTGCTGCGGTCGCTTATGTTCTTGTGATGGGTTTCCACGCAACCAAAGGCTGTTGCTTAGAATACGCTTATCCTCGGTTGGAGTTGGACAGTACTAACCTTGGTACGCAAGGCAGTGACCTAGCGTCACCATTGTATTCAACCAGTAGTCCAAGAGAAGAGACTTCGGGCAAGCAGGGAACAAGTTTGGACGCAAGCAGTTCGGTAGAGAAGCAGCTACTCAAGTCACTCAGTCTTTTGCCTTCCATGGCACTTCCGGATGGAGTCCATGAAAGAGATGACGACTCGGTCTTCTTTCGTGTTGACGACAAATTGTTTGGAGTTGCGTGTTTTCGTCAAGTAGCAGCAACGAGTATATCTTCCTTTAGTGCAGACCCCCGAGCTTCAAGGGAGCAAGAAAGAGACTTTGCTTCACGTGGTACGATACAAAAATCTGTCGTATTGCTCAGTAAATATCCACTGTTTGGAGTTTTGCTGGAGCACTTGAGACCTGTTGTTAGTATTTATTTTGAACAAGGAGACTTTAAAAGGACGAATATACTGGCTCAACTATATCATTCAGTGAATGCTGCACTGAGTTGCAACCAACATTGTCTATATTCTTCAGCTTTTCTTTATCATGGCTTGGAACTACGACGCATTATTCGAAGACTCGGTTTTCATACATTGAGAATAGTGAAGCTTTTGTTATTGGAGAAGAAGGTTCTTCTTCACTCTAGTCCTGTAGAAAGTGCCAGTAACGCAGTGCTTTCATTAGCTTCTATTTTTCCTGGAGGACTTTCTTATATTGCAGAGTCGACTCATGCGAATGATTCAACTGTTTCACTGGAACAATCTAGGTTAGGGTTTCCGTTGAATTGTTTTCGCAGCAATAGTTCATGTGTTCTTGAACCTTATGCACCTTTACAGAGGTTACAGCAACTCTTAGGATTTCGTAAAGCAATGAATGATGAAAGTATCGACGAAGAATTTGGCAAAGCAAACAGTGGTTTTCTGGCAGGAACTTCTCGCAATCTGGGTTTATTAATAGCGAGTATGACAGACCACTATGAACAAAGTGAAGTGGGTGGTGCTGCTTTGAATCCTCCAGATGCCTTTGTAGATATTACACTGGGTGAGGTTCAATATGCACCTTGGGTGGAAGAATTATGCAGATTGACTCGACGTGAACGTCGGTTTATGGAGAATTTAATAAGTATTATTTCTAATTCTTTTCCTTCACGTTTGGGAAGATTTAGATTATCTCAAGGAAAACATACAGATTATCTACACTCGGAAGAATACGCACGTGAACGGTTCCACGAATACTTACAACAGTTCTTAATAAGTATTGCTTCTATTCCAAATGTTTTGAATAAGGAGTGTTGGAGCGATAAGTTTGACATCCAGACAATGTTTCGATCAGACATGATTGAGAATTATGGTTTGCCATTCTGTCAGGCTTGGTTAACAACGAACATATTTGATACTTGGCGTAAGAGCTGTGATATGAATGTGTTATTTTTTACGAGATCTATGGAGAGTAAGCTACCACCAAAGATGAAAACGGACAATGTTTCGCCACCGCATTTGCGTGTTCAGTCATCAAGTTGTACGACCAGTCCGTTACAAGGGAAATCACAAAAAGTGGATCGTCGTCTTGTTTTTCAAGGATATCATAGTGATTCGGGAGATGAAGAAACAACGGTGTCTGATCGTTTGAAGCGGATTGCAAGCAATATTTCTAGCCGATGGAATATGCTCGTACTTGGTGGTTCTTTCAAATATCAAAAGAGCAGTGAAGTGAAGTCAACAAGATTTGAGGAGCCAGTTGGTGATGGAGGAGAGGTTTCTGTATATAAAGATCCTTTTGAGTCCTCGTGGAATCATTCGCATAAAAAAGCAGTAGATGACTCGACTGGTCTTGCAGTTATCGATACCCAAGATATCGTCGAAGGACTATTCTAACGTAGAAAGTACACAATAAATGAATCCTATAAATAGCATGCTTTGAGTTATCAGGACATATGGATTGCTGATCTGTTCAAATTCCGTATCTCACACTGTTTTATCAAACATCTATTGCGAGATCTTTCAAAGGTTCTTTTTATTTATGTCCAATAAATGCTGTAAGAAGCCGCATAATTAAAAATTTTTTTTTTCCAAATTGAGACAAAAGAGCGCCATTTTCCATTTCATTTGTTCCGAATACGCATTGTTTGATATGACAGAAACAAACTTTGCAGAACTCCTACAAAAGTCACTTTTCCTAGCATCTCGAGCAGAAGGAACGCAGAGAAAACAAGCTCTAGACAACACACCTTTGTTACCGAGAGGTATCTCTCAAGTGGATAAGGAAGCAAAGGAAATGTTGGCAAGAGCCAGCCGCACCGGAGGAACACCAGTGAGTCGTTCATTTTTGTTGAACTCAATTGCGCTCTTACATAAAAATCACAGGAAATAGACCCAAGTTCTATACGATTGTTTTCTGAGCTCAATTTTGACGCAGAGTCACTCGGGAAAGAAGTCCGAACGTTCAACGCTGTAGAAAACCTTTTGCCGCCACCCGAAACAAGTTTGAGCAGTGACTTGGATTCATATATTCTTGAACAAGTAGGCAAACGATTTTTGTACACAGTCAGCGTTGTTTCTTACCCTTGTCGTAGCATGAAGACGCCATTTTCTCAACGTTGGAGGATTCTCAGGCAGTTGTCAGCGAAGAACTTCGAAGGAAGCTTGATTCAGCAATTGAAACAATGTGGGAAAAGGAGAAAGACAAGTTCTTAAAACAGCTTTCGAGGCACGTCTCAGCCTCGTTCAGTGAGTCGAAGGACTCGACTTCAAACGCCACAAGTGCCTCTCTATGGAGCACTCCACTAGATCAAACGCGAACCACGCCTAGTAGTCATTCTAGTACAATATTAGGAGAACATAAAGAGTATACTGAGGGAGTCGATCTGAGTGCTGAATTTACGAATATTGTGAGGAATATTTTAGAAAGACGAGTGTTAGATCCCGTGGCGCAGAAATTGGGTTTTTCTTCTTTGTCAAATAACTTGGAAGATTCAAAAGTCTCAAGTTCATCTTCATTGCCTATTGCACAACAATTCGCGAAGGCGATTTCCAGTCATCAACATGCTTTGAAATATTTTGCTTTCATTTTCGAGGCAATATCTTGGATTTGTGGTGAACGTCATGTAGATTTTGACGGTTCTTATATTCGCGATTCTCATTTAAAAGAAGGATGTGTAGATTTGCTGGATTCAACTCAGCTGAAACGGTCATTACAAGGTTCACTTCGTGCTATGGAAGAGAAATTTAAGGAAGGTAGACTAGTAGCAACTATTCGTTCGCACCCTGAACAGGCACTACGTGGAGGTAAACCTGGTCTTGTGGAGGACATTCGAGCTTATTTAAGAGTCGTCTTTCATAATGACTTTCATTCACTTGCCGAAGATACTCAATTTCTTCATCGCCTTCCACTTTGGCCACAAATATTCTTGGCGTTACGTTGTGGAGATGTTCATTCTGCAGTAAAGATTGCGGAAGAGGCAAATGCACAACTGACTGCAAATGGGCTTCATTTTTATGAGTTTATACAAGAGTTTTTTTCCAATCCTGATCGTTGTCTTTCTGAAGACTCGTTGGTTCAACTTTCTCAAGAATATTCTCTAGTTGCTCGTAGAAGTAGCGATGCGTTTTTGAGGGTTTGTTATATTTTGATTGCTCGTTGCAATCCCAATATTGATGAAAAGTGGAAACTTCAAGAAAGCGACTATTCGATTGTTTTGAGTTCGATTGAAGACTATCTCTGGTTCCACCTTTCACTTGTACGACTGGATGAGAAGCAGATGCCTTTATCCCTTCAAGCTTATCGTCTGCAGCTTATAGACGTTCAACAAGAAATACAAGAATTTGGTGCTTCGTATTTTGATCCAAAAGGGGAACGACCATTATTTTATACAATGATATTGACGCTTTCCTTGCAGTTTGCAAAGGCTGTCGATTACCTTGTCAAGTGTGATGGCTTTCTATTCTATGGTTTGCATATTGGATTGATCTTGTATTATTATGGCATTTTACACAACGAGAAGGAATGGAAAAGCATTATCGGAAACCACCCCAATCTTTCTAATCAGTATAGAAAGCAAATACAAGTTCTACTGGAACCTTACGATTTTGATAGATGTTTGTGGTCCTATGTTCAAAGTATTGCCAAGTCTCGTCCGTTGGATGCTGCCTGTTATCTTTATATTTTAAGGGATACATCTAGCAGAATGTACTATTTGAAAGAGCTTATTTTACAGAGTGGAGAATACGAATCCTTGTTGGGTTTTATCGGGCCTGATGGTGCTCGAAGACGTGGTTTTATTGACCAACTAGAACGCTGTTTGCCTGAAGAGGACCGTAATGTTCAAGTATCTTTAGTACTGGCGACAGATTCTGCTATTGAGGCCGCAGAAAGGGGTGACATTCAGGCAGCTGTTCGTCTATATGATATTGCGGAAGAGTATGATAGACTCGTAGCCATTTTGGCGAAAACATTGAGTGCAGAACTCATTCATTCCCGTTCTTCTCTTCGTTCATGGTTAGTGGAAGAATCTAGACGATATTTAAAACTACTTTCGGAGAAGTTCATATCAGAAACCAATACTTCAAAGTGGATATCTACATTGAAATTGTTGTTGTCACTCGTAGAGTTTATAGATCTTGTACAACAACAAAAGTACGAAGAAGCATGGACTTGTATTTGTAATTTGAACATTTTGCCCACGAATGAACGAGACGTAGTTGCCAAGAGTAGCCAGTGGCAGTCTGTTTCGGACGAATCGGATCAACTAGTCGCGGAAAAACTTTCGCAAGTCATTGTTCGAGCCATGGACTGTTTGGTTGCTCTTTATCAAAGGACCAAAGAGTCTCAGCGACATTCAGAACGCTCTCAATTGTCACCCTCCACTCTTTCATCTCACAAGTTGAAAGAGTATGAAGCCTATGGTAGAAATTTGGTATCCTTCGCGACTTTGTTAGGAATACAGAGTCCAGATATTAGTGCAAAGTTGATGCAGGCAAGTTTAGCGTTGCATTGAGTATGCCAATGTACATTTTGTTATTCATTACATTTTTTATAAGAAGCAGAGTTTCTCTATTGCAAACATACTTTGTACATACTGTAACAATCTTGAGTACACTATTTTTCAGTGGAAGAAAATTTCATGGAAACGAGACAGTTACCACCCAACCTAACTTCTTAGTTTTATGCGGAGTCCAAATAGTTTTTCTTCGTCTGTGGGACAAGGATACGCTGGATAATAGTTCGCAAACCTGTCTCTCTTCCTTGTCCACAACTTCACGTGTTTCGTCTCTGTCTTGTTCTGAAACAGAAAGTTTCCTTAAAAGCGGAAGCCACCTGGGGAGATTCTGTTGACGTCCAAAACTTTTGTTCTTCCTTCGTCGGCGAATCCCTGACGAAAATGAAACCTGCTGATACAGTTATAGGGTTATATAGCTTGAAAAGAAATACGAGTTTCAGAGCTTACCTGAAGAGCTCTTGTTGGCCAATTGAACCTGTTGAGAAGCCATTGCTTTTCTAGTGTCCCTTGTGGTAGGCAATGAAATAATAAGGTTGTATTTTTGGCTTCACTGTCTTCCGAGTAAGCGTTATTGGGAACCTTTTCCACTTGTTCTATCGAATAGGCCGCGAAAGAATTTTCTTCGTCGTCACTCTTGGAAGTTAAGCAGTCTTCAGTCTCCAACGAATAGGCAAAAAGTAATTCTGAAAAACTTCTTGTTAACTCTTCACTTTGCATTTCATCACCATCATCTTCTTCTTCTCCTTGCTCATTCAAGCGACGTATTTTCATTTACGCCACAACACCTCAATGCCCCCAAATGAGTAAATGGCCATCCATCCTAATCTAATGAGCGCATCCTAAACAAGAAGGGGATCATCAAACCGATCCGCAATGAGTCTCTCTCTCTACTTCAAAACAGAATCTTAAGATATACAATATTCTTTAGAGCTGAATATAATCTGTGTTTACATGATGGATTGTATACGCCGACATGAATCCATAATACTATTAGAGGAAAACAGCGATGTGACCAACGTGTGGAGAATGATCAACTCTAAACCAATCATTTTCCCTCAAGTACAAACTCGTCCCAAAAGTGGAGATTGCATTTGTTGCTCAGCCGTGTTTTTTTGATATTGTGATTCGTTCGTTTATTCGATATAGGATATGCAGGCTTTTGTTTTTTTATGTGGAGCGAAGACGTTTCATACAGTCTCAAATAGGATTGAACTCAAGTTGACGGTAAGCTGTCAAACAACTCACCCACAAAGTGATGTGGTTCTTGACGCGACTTGTTTCAGAACTTTACTTTCGTTATATTAACACAACCTTTTGTAATACTTGTATTCCTTAGAAAAGCGCCTCACTGAGCTTTCGTGACGGTTTGTTTGTTCCCAACAGCAGAAAATTGGTATGTGACAAGAGACGTCAATTATTAGCCCCTGCTTCCATCGGTTTGAGAGCTTTTCCAAAACACTTGTCAGAAATTACTTCCTTAAGAAGTGATGCAGCTGTCAATGCTTCTGTTTCCTATGGAGAAGAGGGCTCTCCTCAGTTGTCAGTTTCTGATCTTGTCATCGGAGAAACATACACAGGAATAGTGAAGAACGTCACCAACTACGGTGCTTTTGTGGATATAGGAGCTAACAAACTTGGTAAGGAAAGATAGTTGACTATATTATTGCCCTCACAAGAGGTAGGCTTGTTGCATATCTCACAAATGAGTAATCGTTTCGTGAATCATCCCAACGAAGTAGTTTCCATTGGAAGCCAAGTCACGGTTAGGGTATACAAGATTGATGTTGAAAAGGATCAGTTTTCTCTCACTATGAAGACACAAGAACCAAGGAGGAGAAGAAATGACGAACCGGTATGTGTTGTTTCTGGGAAAGGGATAGATATATATATTTATGTATTTTTGAAAAGGAAAACGTTGTAGAAGCACTTCGCTCCTTTGCCGAGCAAGTTGATAGGCATGAGTTTAGAAAGGGGAGAGTAGTGAATGTTACGGACTTTGGTGCTTTTGTGGACATCGATGGTCCAAAAGATGGACTTGTATTTCGTGCAGATATGACTGATGATTTAGAAGTATGTTAACATTATTCCCGGAAAGCATTGGATTGCTTATTATTATTGTTGTTTTAGGTGGATGACGAGATTCAAGTTAGGGTGAAGAAGATCGATTTGAGCAGGAAATTTATCACCTTGAGCATGAAGCCCATTACGGAATATGAGGAAGAGAACATGTCATTCGTACGAGAATAGAAACTTGCAAACTATCGATAAAGTTGTCTGATAACGAGTGAGAAGATGTTAACGCGTTTGTCGCATGCTTGAAAACGCCACAATTTGTTTATTGGCACGACACACAACTGCCGGTACATTATCACATCATTTTAGTCAAATACAATATACAAACATCATACATTGAAGAGGAACCTGCACAAAAAACCATTCGAACCACATTTCGTAAAGTTACTCACGGATTTCTTCCGCAGAGCTGGCTCCAAACATTGTTTGTTCCAGGTTATGCGTGTCCTCCAATTCTCCTAAACTCGAAAAGGATGCCGATAAGAATGGCTTGGAAAGTATTTTTGGAAAAGATGGCGTCCGGGTATACCCAAAGCTCTGTTCCATGTCAATCCTTTCTGCTTCCGTCGCGCCCTGAAAGCTAGAAAAAGATTCCGAATGAAAAGGAAATGGTAATTTGCTTTCAAAAAAAAAATTGCTATTATTGAATTCAACTTTCTTTACATCGTCGGAACAACGAGAATCACTCGATCGATACATGTTTCGTTCGTCATCAAGAGACACGTTGTAAAGACCAAAAGCCTGCGCCTCACTATGTGAAGAAGCAGCATGATAATGTTGAGAAAATACCCAAAAGTTAGGTTCATCTCTTTCTAGTCTTGGCAATGCATTCGAGAAAAATGGGTTCGTAGACTTTGGCGGAACGACATTTACGGGATGCTCATCAAACTGCCCGAAAGTTGGTAGTCGTTGTTGCTCTATATCTACCAAGCTATCTTGAAAAAAGACGAGTCCTTCTTCCCCTTTCCTATCTCTCTCGGAATGCCAAGTCAAATCTTCCGATAAGGAAAACGGTCTCTTCAAGTTTGTCAGTTCTTCAGAATGAGAACTTCTCTCTGCTTCATTTCTATCCAACTCATTCTGTTCTTGATGAGTGTCCATACTATAACTACTATGTTTCGCACGCACATTCGAGCAATTTGATACATCTTCAACCGCTCTACTTCTTTTTGATGTAGTAACCTTACCAAGATTGCCATTCTCGGAATCGTCCCAATCAACATTGGAGCCTGAATATCCTTCACTGAATACAGGAGAGTTCACGTATGAGTTGCAACCCAAAGAGTCCCCGTCTGTGTTTTTACCCATAGAACCTTTCTTCCATATTCCCATGCCTTTGCTTCCAAGTCTTCGTGCTTCCTGTTTGGCAATTTCAAGAGCAGCTTTTGGAATTTTCAAACCTGAAAGTGAGTCATAACCCAATTCATCGACAGAAAAGTCACTTGACCCAGAGCCACCTGGGTCAGCATCTAAACGTTCCACATCATCTACCTTATCTATCATTTTGCCTTTTCCAACTTCGTTTCCGAGTGACTGCTTTCTTAAAAGCTCTCTAGCTAACCTCAAATAATACTTTTGGGCGTGGGTTCGCACTTGAGTTGAACTCCTCGTTCCTACATAATTAGATATGGCCTTGATATCTTTGGCGCCATATAATTCCAAGCCCTCCAAAAACCTCGAGTGTTCCTCACAACTCCAGTAACGTGAGGTTTTGGTTCTAGAAGAGTTCGGCGTACCCTTATTACTAACGCCACCTACTTTTACCTCCAAGTTTCCAACTTCCTTTGTGCTAATTTCATCCTGCTGTACTGTTACAGGTGTTGCGTGAGAGTAGAAAGCGTAATAAGGTAAATCTACGGGACTGCCTTCTGTGTCGCTCTTTTCTTGCGCGTTACTTTCTATCTTCATAACGTTGGGGTTGCTTTGCAGTTTTAGCCTCTCAATCTCCATGTACGCTACCTGTAACTTTGCTTCGAGCTGTTTTACATGTTGTCTTAACTTTTCGATGACAATATCTGAAACAGGGACGCAAGGGGAGTTTTCTAAACCCTCGCCTTCTCTTCTATTTTCCAATTGTTCTCCTCCACTATCAGTATTATTATAAAAGGAGTTGTTTCTTGACAACTTTTGAAGTGTTGAAGGGTTGCGATAGTTTCCTGGTTCGTTAAATGACGCCATATTCTGTTCGCAACTCTGTAACCAACACTGATTATCTCAGTCTTCTAAAACCCGTCTAATCTCTCCAGCTTTCGACACTTATGCCAAAAGCAGCATGTTCACTTGTCAAGTCAAGTATAATATATCTTTAACGTCTTGGGTGACAAAACAACAGCAACGAAAGAGCTTTCAAAAATGGGGGTTGATATGCCCAAAAAAGAAAATATTCCCACTACTATCTCTCTTTCTTACTTGGGAAATGGCCCCCAATTGAAATCAAATGGGATTCCTCAAAAGAGAAAGAGAGGAAATGGAAGGATTTAATTTGTCCATTGGATATTCCTGCGAGGATAACAAAAACGTGGAAGTTGGTCAGCGAAACAAAGTTAAATACGGATGGAAATGATTATTGATAAACTATGAAGAGTTGTCTAGTTAAACTATGTGGAAAGAGTAGTGTCTCTAGTTTAGCATAGAGAAAGGAATAGGACTTGTATCGAAGGTGTTGACTGGTTTTCAGGCAAGTAGAGAATAGGAGACATCAACAGTGTGTGATTTAACAAAATAAAATTTTTTGTTCCCATATATGAATGTGTTTTACTGCTTCCACAAGTTGCCGCACCACCCTTCTTCTTCTTTCATCCCAATTATCAATCTTTTACATCTCCTTTGAATCCCCCCAAAGAAAAGAGGACTCGTGAAGCTCCCGTTCAAAATGTCTCGAGCTCAACAAGATAGGTTCGAGGGTCCTTTACCTAGATATGACTCTTTAACAGACTTGGTCGCTTTCGCAGCAGCAAAAAGGGTTGTTTCATACATAGATGCAAGGAAACAGAAACAAACTATTGCTTGGGAAGACAAACAGGAAGATAGAGAAGATAATTCCACAGAATTGGACACTTGTCAGAGACAAGTTGTCCAACCAGAATTATCTTCTGTGGAAGGTTATAAAGAGGATGAAACAGAAGAGGAACGTTATGTGGTTGCTCAAGACGCTTGTGGTAACCTTTTAAAGAAGCGAATTACTTCGGAGACAACAAACATGCTCCTTTCGGGACTTTCCCTTACCCATATTGACTTTGGTTCACTGAATTCGTTGAGCGAAGCTAGTGACAGCCTTAAAACAGGTTGTAGAAATAAGAAAACTCCACTAGTGGTCGAACGAGACAACGCAGTCAATCTTTTGCTAAAAATTCCTTCCCCTGTTGAAAACCCAGAAGAGGGCTCTGTAGAGTTGGGAGAGTCTACAAGTCCAAGAAGTTGGAAAAATTTACCTCATGCAGCAGAAAAACTACTGTCAGCTGTATGGGCTCCTCAACTGCGGGAAATATCTCTGGCCAGTAATCAGTTGGAGTCTGTCGATTTAAGTCCTTTGGCCGACTGTATTAATTTAGAGTCTGTTTTGTTAAACTGCAACAAATTGCGGAATATCAATCTTGAGCCACTATCGTCATGCACTAAATTGGAAAAGCTTTGGTTGCATCATAATCAACTTTTAACAATTTCATTAGAACCTTTGAGAGAATGTAGCAGCTTGCGTTCAATTTATTTGGACCATAATGAATTGACACACTGCATCGATTTGGAGCCTTTAAAAAAATGTAAATTGCTCAAAGGCTTGCGTTTAGGTTCGAATAATATGAAAGGAGACTTGGATGTAACACCACTGCTGCATTGTAATACGTTGTCTGTTTTTGATGTTTCTGCGACTACTAGACTGGTTGCACGTTTCAAGGTGAAAACACTTCCTCCGGCATTAAAGAAGCACGAAAAGGATATTTTGTGGATAGATGAACAACTAAATTCGTTTTGTGCGAAAACTTTAAAAGGTGGTATCCCGAATGATAGAAATTTGGTAAAACCTAGAATTCTTTTATTGGGGTTCAAGTCTTTCCAAGTTGCTCTGGAAAATCTTTTTGCGAAGGTTTCCAGTCTTGAAGTAGATAGTATAGGGAACTTGAGACAGGAAGAGGTATCAAATACATTGAAGAATCTACAAAACCTGCAAAACTTCGATGCAGTCGTTTGCGATTCATCAATTGACTGGGTAATTCCCAAACTCAAGTTGGTTCACAGCGACATTCCAATAATTGTCGTTAGTTCGGATATGACATCGGAAGCCGCTGGTAGATGTCTTCGTTTTGGTGCATGTTGCCTGGCAAGAGCTCCATTGGGACCTGAAGATTCTTTTAGAGTAAAAGAATGGGCAGAAAAGCACTCTCACTCGAATTGCGAGTTGCGCATGGCATCACAAATGGGTCATCCAACTAGTTTCAATCGACGACAACCCGAAGATGACTATATCGAACAGAAGTTAGTTGGTTTACTAAAAACGAATGCAGTAGATGAAGTTAGTGAACATGAGCTGATACAAGAACTTTCTGATAAAGACATTGTGGACAATCGTACGGAACTTAAAGCTATTGAAGAAATCTTTCGAATGAAATCTAACAATTTATTGGAGAGCACTTATCGACATATTGCGATTTCATGCGGTCTTCCATCTTGTGCCTATCGATTGTTACATGACGCCATCCAAAGAGAAGAGCAGCATGTGGATTGTGGTGCCTTTGGTAGATTTTGGAAAAAGCATTTTCTTCATCGGAATCGCGAAGAACGTCTTTTTATTCTCTTGTGTCCTTATGGGAAGAAATTGACAAGCAAGAGTCCTTTGAGAATCCTAGTTGAAGATCTGTTAAAACGTCGTCTTTTGAGAAGAGTATCATCTAATACTGTCCAAGTGCAACTAGTTGACTGTGCTTTAGAATGTGTATTGTATAGCTTAACTGGTAACTTTGAAATAAGTGGCATTACTTTAAAAGACGTGGAGAGAGAAAAGTTATGTCATGCCTTGATATTAGCAGAGCAAGGAAGTTTTAAAAGACCCTTAGAATTTCTTCGTCCAGAGAAGTTTGATGCGTTAAGAAAAGACTTTAAGATAGCAAGCCAAGGTCGCTATTTATCATGTATAGGTTCGAATGTGATTGGTTTGGATGATTTTCTTCGTTTTAATCACGAACGTAATTGGCTAACTGCTAAAGGAGCCATGTCATTCTTTCAAATATTGATATTTTTAAGATGCGCATGTAAAGATACATCATTAGCAGTTGAAGATGATTGGTTATTGTTGAGTGATTTTGCGCGTTTCTATTGTACTATTTCGGAGTTGAGTAATAGTAGTGCGTTGAAGTTGCTTTTTTTAGTATTGGATACCGATATGGATGGGGTGGTTAGTTTTGAAGACTTTGTTAGTTTTTACAAAGACAAAGCACGCATTTATGCTCGAGAAGGATTGATACTGGCAGATAGTAGAGTGATTTGGAGACATTTTTTAGATATTTGTGGTGAAAGGAATGATGAGAAAAATGTGTTGAGTTTAGGAGATTTATCACGTTTGGAACCCAAACAAAGAAGTTTCCTGTTGAAAGCCATGTTGTTGAGAGATGACGGGGTATCGTTGGTAGATATTAGAGCCAGTTTGGTTCCAACCACAGGTTTAGCTGAATAGGAAAAATGAACACGCTCATAACGAACGATGTGGTGAATCTAATGGGGAATGAAACAATTGTTCTATATAAATGACACACAAATTGTGTATGTTTTGAGCTTGAAAACAAAACAATTCTTTATCCATGAGACTCTTCTGTAAATGGATTGAGCTCATCAAAAGGTTCTTCATTACTAGTTTCTTCATCAAATGGAGTTTGTTGTGCAGCATAAGGACCTTCCATTGCCATAGTTGGTGGTGGTTGTTGTGCCCATCTTTCAGGAACTGCACCTCCTTGCATTTCATAAGGTTGATAATAATAAGGAGCAGCTCTATCTCCATACGCTGTTGGTGGTGGAGGATAAGATGGTTCCATAGGATGATTCCAAGGCGTGGAAGTCATCGAATGTGAAGTTACAGGTGGTGGAGGATAAGATGAAGGCGAATAATAAGATGGATGAGCATAAGAAGGAGTGGAATAATAGGCAGCAGGCGGAGGCATATGAGGATCATAAGGATTTCCTCCTTCCACTCCATATGGTGAAGAAAACGGATTATCTACGAGACACAAGTATAAATACAGAAATAAAAAAACACTACAAACTTACTCTGAGGCTCTTCAAAGGGATTTCCATACACTTGTCTTTGTTCAGCCATCGAAGGATTATAACCTGCTCCTCCCATGGGAGACATAAACGAAGGAGGATAGTAACCACCTCCTGCAAAAGAAGAAGAAGAAGGAGGAGGAGGAGGAGGATACCCGAAATTCCCTTGAGACGGCCTCGATATGGAAGCATCCGAAAAGAGGTCTAAAAGGTCATCATGTTCTCCTGAGGTGGACTTTTTCTTCTTCTTTTTCTTGTCGGATTTCTCGGGAGTTTTTGACTTGTCTTTAGAATCACCACCGCCACTATTTGATTTCTTCTCAGGTCCTTTAAATAAACCAAAAAAGTCATCCAACTCTTTTGTACTGTCACTCTGTTCATCATCTGAAGCTTCCGTCGAATGTGACTCTGTATTAGCATCATCATCACTATCATCATCATCAAAAGTAATCATTTCGGAAGATTTGCCAGTCTATCTCTCTCTCTCAGTAGACAATACGAATGAAATAAAATCAGCATACCTTTAACGACTCTCTAATAGCTGCAGCCACTGCAGCAGCTTCATCATAATTCTCCTTGTTCGGATTCAACTTGTCTTTACTTTCGGGTATAATGTCGCTGGTCTTGTCTCCCTTGGACTAGATTTATGTTGAGCAACGCCATATCAGAATCACATTCACACAATACCTCTTTTAAAGTGTTCACGTGCTCTTTCATTCCCGAAATATAATCAAGTGCAACGTGTTCAATAGAAGACTGCGTTTCGCTAGCACCAAGCCTACGAAAGATGTAAAAAACTCACTCAAATACGAACAAAAAGTTGTTTTTACCTTCTAGCGATTCCTAACAAACGCTCTGCTCCGTGCACAAGCTCTATGTATCGTTCATACAACTTGAGACTTTGCTCACATTCCGATTTAGACAAGGTGAAAAAATCCTCCAAAATCTTTCCCATTCCATCATTCAACTAGGATAAGACCTAATTAGTAAATAATGTGGCTAGTAAATAACAGTCTTACTTGTTTCATCAAGGGAAGCATATCTTTTACAAGTCTTTCAAGAACACCGACTGTCAAGTCGTTGTACGCAGCATCGGAACTCAGTCTCACGGCAATAAGACTTTCGGTCTATCACCCATATATCAAGTGCTCATATGACAAGATGAAGAGTTGACTTACCTGTGTTTCTACTACTGGGAGTACTTGTAAAAGTTCGGTCATTTCCAAACGATTTACATCCCCATAAAGTTCTTGCGCATCATCATCTTCGGGAACTACTTCATACAATTGTTGCCTTGACTTTTTGGAAGGGTCTGGTATAGTGTCATAGCTCATACCCTTGTTTACCCCCGTTCAGTCCCATTCTTTGAACAAACTTTCCTTCTTACCAAAGTACGAACGGTAATTATCTTCTCTTGTAGATATCTCGCAAAAGCTTTAGTGTACTGTGCATATTCTGAAACGTGATCTCTCAAATAAGGAAGGTTGAAAGTAACAGCAGAGTGCAACAACAAATCCACGAAGCTCTTGCTACCTTCGTCGAGGAGGATGTGACATACCAAAAGTGCACGAAGAACAACCTTTTGAACGTTCAACCCACAAACTTATGCAAAAGTCGCAAGTCATTACCGCATATTCTGCTGCTTCCAGTCTTTGTTGTAAATATTTCAGAACCTTTCTAGGGCCTTGATAGAAGATTATTGAGAGAAGTAGCGTTCGACGTGTACAACAACTTACCGCATTTTGTATTACTTGAAGAAGGGCGCAAGTAAGTGGCACGAATGATTTCTGTTAGACAAAGAGTAAGAAGTCAACATAAGTTGGTGGTAGGCTTACTTTTGACATCTTTGAGACGGGGCTTTGCTTCTTCATCCAATGTTGCTTTTGTAACAGCACGTTTCAGTTCATTGGTTGTCATATGTGTGGTAAATATTTTGGTAGCGTCCACAGCTTTCTGAGTATACTTTTCCATAATGAAGACCAGCACACTCAAGAGTATGTATGCGCAATATTCCACAAGGCAATGGGGGAAAATTTATCTCTGAGGAATAGAAGGCATCATGATATTGCTCAGTTGAAGAGACATACAGAAACTACAATAAATGCATCATCATTGTGGGTAGTTTATGACTCTAAAGTTTTATTGATTTTTGATTTCTTTTATTTGGATATCACTTCAAGTTAGTTGCCCACTCCAACAAATTCCCTCAAAAAAGCTTTTGCCCACAGAGTCAAAGAAGAGCGCCCACTCTTCCTTTCCTTCCCCTCATTTTCCCTCCTCCATTTTGAGTTTTTGAAATTTTGAAAAGCCTTTGTATGGAAACTCAAAGTGAACTACAACAACTATTAGGTGAAGCTCCGACAAAAAAACTCTTGTCCTTAAAGCTATTATGGGAATTAGAAGGTCTTTCGGAACAGGAAACAGAACAAAAACTAAGAGAACTTCGACAAAGCTTACAACATGCCTTTGACCAGTCACTTGCTCACATGAAGCAAGGAATAGAGTCCAAAATAACTCAACTCATTCAAACTTGCGAAAAAATACAATCTATTAGCAACGAAATGCAGTTATCAACTCCTATATTTAGTGGGAACTTCGACCTCTCTGCTATACAGTCGAAAGGAAACCAAGTATTGGAACTCTTAACTCAGCAAGACATGGGACAAGCACAATCAGAGTGGAAGAAGAAGATACAAACTACTTTACCACTTCCCACAGTCAGAGAAACATTGAATATGGTTTTGGAAAAGGCATCAGAATGGTCTGCCAAAAGAGAAGAAAAGCTACAAAGAATAGAAAATAAGAGACAAGCTATCGTAAACTTATGGGTAGATATATTGGGAGAAGTATTGGATGACTTGAGTGAGCCTTTTCGAGAATCGACAGATGATGCATCCAGTGCCAGAGAGGAAGCTATGGATAAACAATACAAAGACCTATGTGAAATAATCGACCAAAGACATCATGTAATGTCAGAAAGTCTACAAAGAATAGGTGCACACTTGGAATCCTTGCAAATATTTAATGAGGAAGAGATGGAAGATGAGGTTGACCGAGTCGCTTTCAAGTGGAGATACAAAGAGGAAAACTCATCAGAAATATATAAACAACTGGGAATAACTAGAGACAGAATGGACATACTTGCTGCACGTGAAGAAGTTTTGTTACAAGAAGTACAAGAACGCTTTCAAAGATTGCAGAACTTTAGAACTCAGCTATTAGCTTATTATGAAAAGCTAAAATTTTCTATGGAAGAATATGAAGAATTTGCTTCTCAAAATGCTAATCTTTCCTTGTCCTGCTTAAATGCCTGGGAACGTGAAGTTCGTCGTTTGGAAGAACTTGAAAAGGAGAGACTACAACAACTGTTGGACGAGAGTAAACAAAGGTTGCACTCTTTGTGGAATGAACTTCAAATTCCTGTTTCAGAACGGTTACATTGGCAAGAGACACTTGATAACGAACACTTATCTACAGAAAAGTTGATAGCTAGGCATGACGAGGAAATCAGTAGATTAGAGTCTTTTGCCGAAAAAGTTCGTCCCATTTATCAGTTGTTTGAAAGGAGACAGGAAATACTACAAAAGCGAGAAGCTTTCATGAAAGAGTCTCAAGACCCCTCCAGACTATTTGGTCGCTCACAAGATGGTAGTCGAAGAGATGCTGCTTTTCTCCTTAGAGAAGAGAAATTACGAAAAGAGATTGAGAAACTTCCCAAAATACAAGAAAATCTTAAGAAGAAAATCAAAGAGTTTGAAGCAACTGTGCAACAGAAGTTTCTTATCAATGGGGAGCCTCTTTTAGAACTTTTGTTGGAAGAAGAGAAGAGAGAACAAGAGGAGAAAATGGAACAGCGAAGAAAGAAAGAAGCAGAACGTAGAGCACGATTGGAAGTAGAATCCAAGTATGGAACTAATGCAACACCAGAATTGGTTCGAAGAGTGCAAAGTTCTGGTAGGAAGAATTCCTCTAGAGCAGTTTCTCGACAGCAACCAGAAGCACCCAAAGTAGAAGACAAAAATCGTAACTATTTAACCTATCCATCTACTCCTTCCAGTTCTAAGAGCAATAGTACTCGAAGCACAAGCTTATCAGATAAGCATCTTCATTATCCATCATCTGGTGGCACTTCTCATGAGAAGGTACATTATGAAAGACATACTGAGTCTTATACTCCCCAGAAGGATGAAAATCATACGAAGAAGATGCAATCAACTTCTCGTTGCCATTCTCCTTTATCTATTACTAGCAAGACTTCAGTATCTCGACAGCACACTTTTTTGGCTGGTAATCAAGAAGATAGTGGAGAAAGTATTAGTCATGGTGAAGGTGAGAAAGTTGGTGAGCAAGTTTTCATGACTCAACATATAACGGAACCGTATTCTTCTCAATCACAATCAATATTTCGACTACCCGGAGTACCTGTTAGCAGTAAAATATCGGGATATTCCAAAAACAGTTTCAAAAGCAGTTCATCAAGTAGTCATAGTGAGTTGACTGCAGCACAGCAGACTTACGTTCGGTCGGATAAGGAAGTTTATGGTGAGAGACAAATGAGAGAGAGAACAAGAGAAGATTGGGAAGAATTGAATGATGAAAATAGACGTCCATTTAACTATCAGCCTAGTTCTTTGAATACTTTTCATGAAGTACCTTCGTTTGTCCGTGAAGTAGTGAGTGTAGAAGATGCAGAAGAAAGCAAGTTTACTTGTACAGAGTCTCCCATCAATACAACGAGCACCACAACAGAAGGTATTCAACAATAGAATCTATTTTGTTTTTTAACCATAAATAAATGATTGTTTTGTGTGATAACATAGCGAATGATTATGAAAACTTTTTAGCATTTATTGGATTAACCATGCGTCGTTCTGGAGCAGGTCGAGGTTTACGTGGCAGACCAGCTAGTCGAGGAAAAGGACGTGGAACTCCATCTTTTGGTTCGAGAAATGTAGAAAACAGAAAACAAGGACGTCCGATATCTAAAATAGATTTGTTTTTTCGTTATATATTTGAAGAAGATATGAGAAACCTTCGAGAAGTACTTCAAACGGACAGCTTCTCTGCAATCAGACCATTCAACGATCAAGGAATTCCTCCTTTACACTTTGCTGTCTTAAACAAACGCATAAAGAGTTTGAAATGCTTAGTGGAACACATCGACAGAGTTCATTCTCAGACAGATATCGACTTTCAAGACGATGAACACGGACAAACGCCTTTGATGGTTGCCGCAGAATTGGGTTGGGTAGAAGGAGCCAAGGTTCTTTTAGAAAATGGTGCTGATTTGACAGTAAAAGATGAAGAAGGTCACACTGCTAGAGAATATGGATTGCTCGCCGACTCTAAACAGGTCCTGCTATTATTTGATGAGTGGAAGAAGAAGAACGACATTCCGGAAGAAGTTGTTGAAGAAGAAGAAGTTATATTTGAGACATCTACACAAAAGAACCGCAGAAGAAGGAAAGAATTGGAGAAACAAGAGCGTTCGACTATAGAACTAGCAACGACTACAGCTCCAGTGAAATCTGGCGCCACAGAAACCGACAAGAAAATCGTTTCCGATATTTTAAATAATATAGATGAGCGTACAAGACTGAGTTGCTTGGCTGATTGGGATGAATTGAAGTTGGCTATTCATGAGTTGAGACGAGACTTGAATATAGATCGTTCTGATGCACAAGGGGAACAAGGCAGTTGTTCAGGTTTTGTCATCGATCCCACTCTGTGGAGTTATGATGTCTTACAGCGATTGCAGTTACGAATACCAAATGGCTCATTGACCAGTCTTCCTGAGGATTTGGGAAAGTTAAGCAGTCTAAGTGCACTAATTATCAACGATAATAGTTTTCAATATCTCCCAGAGAGTATTGGTCAGCTCCATGCTTTGCGAGTGTTAGAAGTGGAAAATAATCGATTGGAACAGTTGCCAGAAAGTATTAGGCAATGTAAAAAGTTGGAAGCAGTGAGAGTATCTGGAAATAAGTTGAGAAGCCTAAAGTCTCTAAGTGAAGCTACAGATTTGGTCTCTTTGCATTGCGATCGCAATCAGTTGGAACAATTGGACTTGGATTTTACTTGTATGAGTCGACTTGCCATGTAAGTGGGCATTTTATTCTCTTTTCTATTCCTTTATGAAATACTTTAAGTTTATCTGCCACTTTCAACTGCATCAAACAACTTCCTGATAGTATAGGCTGCTTGGAGAACTTGACCACTCTCCAATTATCTGGAAATGAAATACAAGTCTTGCCAAATGGTATGGGAGATTTGAAAAAGCTACAAACCCTAAGTTTGGATGAGAATCCAATCAGAGTAAGTGATAGAACTAAATGGCATATTCTTTAAACTAAGCGTCACGTTAGGACAAGAAGATATTGAAGATATTAACCAAAGGAAAGAAACCGATGAAAGAGTTTTTGCAATATGTGAAGAAACAGAGAGGAAGAAACAAAAAATCAAAGAGTCAAGAGTCGGATGAAGAGAGCGAAGCTGAAGAAGAAGAAGAAGAAGATTGAAAGTTTTCTCTGAAACCAAACTTTGCTATTCCGAAATAAAGACTCCAGAGTCTGTTAAGATATTTGGTGTTCTTACACTGCTATTCACATTCTATATACCCATTGGATAGTTATGTGTGAATGAGGTTTACTCTGATGGACGAATTCTCTCGTACCAAATTCCGAGCTTTATAAAAGTTTCTGAGGGACACAAGTCTACAATATTAGCTCAGAAAAAGTGCCCATCAAAAGAAAGTTCCTTCCGCAGGTTGTGGAAGTTTTCTATTATACGGAGCAGCCATCTCTCTTCTTAACGCTAGTAATATGTTCTCAATTCTCTGGTTTCGATCCCAACTCTTCAAGAGATGAAATTTGGTAGGATCCACCTAAACAAATCATAAGAGTATTCTAAAAGTATACTCTCGTTATTATGCTTACGCGTCCAGTATGCTTATCTACACAGGTCAAGTTAATCTTAGAAACAAAACGAACTGCAGGAGGATCGTCGGGGTACTTGTCCCCACAATATAACTGAACTGTATATATACGATTCTCAAAAACCGTCTAAGTTTCCGAATGGGAAGTTTGCCAATGAATAAGTAAAGAACTCTTACATTTATCGGCCCCAAAATGGTACCGTTCCACTTGGACAACGTTACATCATCGCCATCAGCCAAGCCATAACTAATACTTCCTTGACCTACCCCGTGTTCTCCCCTTTCAAGCTCCTCAAGTAATCTAAAGTTTCTAGGAACTGGCCAAATATTCTTGAGCAGACTTGAAACCTTCGCACTTACTTACCTTTGGTCGCGGTCATCCAAATAGAGAATAATAATGGAAATGCTAAACCAGTTGGGAAAAAAAACTCTTCTTGTGGAAGATAAGCTTTCTTCTTTATGAAACAAATAAGCTTTAGATGGAAAATAAACTTCAAATGGTCAACGAAATAGTTGATAAGAAGCGTTTATTTCTCATAGCTTTGGGTTTATGTGGAATACAGTTTTGTTGGGCGATTCAAGTTGGACATACGACAAGAACTTTGTTAGAGTTGGGACTTGCTCCAAATCTTGTTTCTATGGCTTGGTTAGCAGGACCTATCGCTGGTATAATTGTTCAACCCATAGTTGGTACTCTATCAGACCACTATGAGAGTAGAATGGGAAGGAGAACTCCCTATATTCTGGCAGGTTCATTCTTCTCAGCCGTTGCTTTGTTATTATTTGGTAATGCAGTAAAGTTGGGAAAATGGTTGGGAGATGAAGAAACAGCAAGTTCTAATGGATTGGAAACTGATCATGTTGCTCGTTATGGACTTGTGATTGCAATCGCCTCCTTTTGGTTATTAGACTTTTCGTTAAATGCCGCTCAAGGTCCTTTACGAGCGCTCATGGCAGATATTGCTCCATCCGAACAACAAGAGCAAGGCAATGCCTTTTTTGCACTTATGACTGGAGTTGGAAACTTGCTTGGAAATATTTTAGGTTCCATTCCTTTATCGAAATATATTATTTTTATATCTTCGGATATCTGTGCGTTGTATACCATAGGAGCCATCATGATAAGCATAACCAGCTCTATTTGTGCATCTTTTGCAAGAGAAAAGGATAGTCTTTGTCGAACAGTTCATCATCAAAGAAGTCATTACTTGACGTTTACAAATGAAAGTAATGAACTCATGGAAGACGCAAATAGTTTAGACTTGCAAGAAGAAATAGAGAGACGATTGGAAAGCAAGAGTTTGAAAAAGATCATCTCAAATGCTCCTTCTCCTTTTTGGAAGCTTTTTTTGATACAATGCTTTACTTGGTTTGCGTGGTTTACAGAATTTGTGTTTATCACTTCTTGGATGGGTAGTGAAGTTTTGGAAGGAGATCCCAACGCTCAAGAGAATTCGGAAGCTCGTTCAGTTTTTGATTACGGAGTGAGAATGGGAAATGTTGGTTTATCGATGCAGTCATTGGCATCTATCGCTTATTCTTTGGTGTTGCCAAACCTCATCAAACTTTTTGGTATCAAATATTGCTATTTTTTAGCTCATTTGTTATTGGTAAGTAATCATATGTGATGAAAGTAGGGCTTATTCTATAAGGGCTTTTGTCTTTGTTGGACGCCGATATTAACCCACATACATTCCGTCTTATTGTCCATTATTTGTATCTCTTTGTTGGGCTTACCTTGGGCCTCAACTATGACAGTAAGTAAAAGTTTTTCTTTAAATATATTTATATATATATATATATATTACAGATTCCTTGGGCCATATTATCTCGTACAATAAGAACAAAGGTACCAGAAAACATCGGAATGTATTCTACTATATTCAACTTGAGTCAATGCTTTCCAGAAATTTTAGTTTCTGTCATTGCAGAGGTAAACACAAAGACTTTAGATATGGTGATTCTAAAAAATGATTAGAAACTATTGGGTCATTTGAATAGACAAACTATGATACTGGCAATGGGAGGTGTGATGGCAATATTAGGTTCCTTGTTGATATTTACATTATAAGAGTCACTCATCAATATCCAATAATAACATAATACGCTTTCTATCTCCAATACAGTGGATTCCCATTTCCTTGAGGTCTTGTTCAGTCAACTGAGATAAAACTTGGCCATCTATAGCATGTTCAAGAAATAGTTTGGAATAGCTTTGTAACCCATTTTTACTTAATATCTCCGCAACTTGTTCCACACTGTAGAATTCTCTCTCCACGATAACAGGTAAACATAGCTTTTTGGAACAACAACTCGAGACCTTGTTTCCTTTCTGTGGTTGAAAAAGTTCCCAACAAATAAAACCAAAGGCAAAAGTCGGAACTGTATAGCGAAACATTGTCCACGAATAAAGTAACAATAGTCTTAAGCAACTTAGAAATAAAGTACCAGCAACCAAAGTTCCAAACTTGAGACAATGCAACAACAACAAAGGGGGAGCCAACCAACCGGGTCGCATACCAGGCCAAACTACTAAACCAAGTGATATGTATTTGCGAATAGTATGTAACGCTACATAAGAATATATGAGTTGAGTACTAACAAAAAGAAATAACATCGTGATGGAAACATAGCGGACTGCTTTGTTCCAACGGTTGTTAGTCAAGTGGTTGTCTTTCCAATTGTCGTGCTTGGAACACATCAAAACCACCAAATGGAAAGGATAACTACGAACAATTCTCACTTTCTCAAAGAAGTGAGTTCCTTTGAACTGTTTTGTATGAAAACAAGGAGACTTGTGAATCACTCGATGCAGGGGCACACTAAAACTCAACATGGAAAAGTGTAATGAGCTGCTATTCATTGTGTCCAATAGATAAATATAAAATTCATTCCTTTACTTTCTTAAAACGTTGGGATAACATAGAAACTGCTCCAAGTCGTCTTGGCGTGAACGAAGTCTTTTCGATTGATACATTGACTCTTTCATCGCTTCTCTTCGTTTCATCATATGAACGATATTCGAAAATCGACGGTCCAAATGCTTCTTCAAAAGTGCCTCTCCACTTACTCTTTCATTCAAATATTCATATAATAAACGCAACTGTTTGCGAGAATTATAAAAACCCCAGTGACTAATTCCGTATCGCATTTCAGGAACTTCAACAAATAAAATACCTTCTTGTTCCAGTAACCAATACCTTCGAAGACAACGATCCACTCCTAACGGATGCCACCTTAGAAATGGCGAACGAACTGAACGACCCAACTGTTTTCCTAAACTCTCACTAGAAGCTCGATATTTCTTTTCTAATAAGGCAATCTTTTCTACAAGTTTTCGTTCTTCATTTCTTGCCTCACTCTCTTTCTCTCGTCGTTCTTGCCGAAGCTTTTCTTCTCTTAAAGTCTTTTGTCTCTTACTCAGTGTCCTCGTTCTAATAGCTGATAACTTGTTGTTCTCTTCATTATCATTCGTATTTACATTGTCAATGGAATCATCGAGAATATGAGAATCCTTAAAAGGACCAAAAAGTTCTTCATGATTAGAACACATATTGCCATTCTCTTTCATTCCATGAGACTTTCTATACTTATCTAAAGTTTGTTTGGCTTTTTCCATTTCCCTTTCTAAACTCTGTCTCTCTTCTATAATCTCCATTCTCTTCCTCTTCCTCTTATCCTGCATTTCTTCCAATTCACTTTCAACTAATTTACGTATAGGCTCTGCTCCTAAAGCAATGTCACATAACATTCTTAAAAATACAAGACGTTCTGATGCATTCAAATTTTGATATCCTTTGTCCTCAATCCAACGACTCAACAAATACTCCATATGATTCATAGAGTCTACTTCTCCCTTGTGTCCAAGATTCGTTTGTGCAATATGATGAAGATAATCTTCACCACCTGAAATATTTTGCAACTCAAAACGAACAATTCGAACTAATACATTTTCCCATCCCGACTTTCGTTCAGCATCACTCTTCATACGTGAACCAGAACTTTCTGGAACATCTTCATGATTTTCTAAAGATAAAATAACCAATTGATGAAACAAACAGTCAAGAAGAGCATTTCTATCATGGTAACATAAGGCCTTCTCCAAATCAAACAGAGAAAAAGGTACAAGACCAAGTTGATCGCCAAATACATGAGCCACTTCCCAAACATAAACTACGTCTCCATAAACGTGAGATGGAATCTTCGAAGAAAAGATAGGTTCCGGCCACAAACATTCATCTTGAGACCTAATTACTTCTTCCATCAAATGAATCCATCTATCCGTCGTTCGACAATTACAAAGAGAAGTACCATTGCCAACGAGTTCATGATAAGATAGATTGCCTTTCCCATCGTTGTCTTGGCAGTTGAGTATCGATACTTGAATTGTAGGATCAAACCAAATGAGACCAAACTTATCAGCAAGTTCAGGTTTGACCAATAATGGAGCTTCTTTTTGCTGTTCTCGAGATGAAATTTCTCGAATTTTAAACTTTAGTGTCACTTTAGAAACAGGCGATTTGTTCTTTTTTACCAGCTCAGAGGAGGATATTTCAGTTATTTCGTTATGCTCCAAGTCCTTTAGTTGGTAAGTCAACTGAAAGGACGAAAGTTGTATAAACTCCTCCGCTCTCTTTTCTTTAAAAGGCTTTCCAGTATTAGATAGTATATTGGTTACTTGCCATTCTTTACCGTTGTAAATTAACCTTTCCCCTACACAGTAATATTTTTTGAATCGAACATAGGCAGCATCTACTAGCTGCTCCAAACGGAGATAAGACAAGTGAATCAACCGACAAAGAGGTTCCAAGTAGATATCATCCTTAAATTCTTGACTTACTTTCCAGGAAGTTTCTTTTTCTGAAGCAAGAGCTTCTTGAAAAGTGAGACCACTCTTCCCAGTTATGGAACAAGTCCAGTTACGACTTTTGCAAGTGAGTAACCTTTCAAGATAAGACTCATAGTCTTGAAATACTTCTCCTGTTATATTCAAATAAAAATATTGTGCTTTAGGGTTTATCTCAGTCACAGTAGTTGGCTGAAATGGTTTCCGATTGTAAAGCGGCATCTTAATTATTCGCACAACATTTAAAAACAGCGGTCCAATTTATATCAACTTGTAAAGGGTTCAAAGTCATGAGAAACTTTTTCCAACACTTGCAACGTTGTTAAATGTACATTTTCTAAAGATTTTCTAACTTTACACCATCGAGTACCTTTTCTAGGTGGATGACTTTCAACTTGACTTTCTATCTCCTTTATTTCAGACTCTCCATTCTCCTTCTTTTCAAAAGCATACCAAGCAGCCCAAGCATCACCCAACTCTGAGTCTAAAGTTACCGCCCTTTGAAACCAAGATCGGGCTTTTTCTATCTTATGTTCGCCCCAGAATAATCTCGCAACTGCAATCATAACGTGAGCATCCCTATCGCAGCGAGTCAAAGCATCTACAGAACGCGCTCTTCTTTGTTTGGCTGATTCCAACTCAATAGCAACTGCCCAGAGACGTCCCGAGTCGGGACACTCTTGTAAAGCCTTTGATAAAATACTCAAAGCACTCTTAGAAGTAGTCTTGCTTAAAAGCTGACTGTCTGTGCTAAGAGGACGTTGATTCTTTGCAATTCTAACTTCCAACCATATAGACTCTTCCCATATTATATCTACTTTGGGTAGTTTTTGCCTTGCTCTTTCTAAAATTGCACGCGCTCTCGTCCACTTGTTTACCCTTTCTTCCAAGTGTGCCAAACTAATCCACAGAGGAACACAAGTAGGACAATGTTGGAGACCTGATGAGTATGCAGCTCTGGCTTCCTCAAGTTGAGAAGGCTCCTGGCGCTCATGCCATTGACCAAGCATTAACCAAAGCTTTGGTTCGTTTGGATGCTTTGAGAGACCCTCTTCTAAAAGCTCTCTTTCAGCTTCGACACAGCCAGCCTCTCTTTCCAACAAGGCAGATTTATAGTAGACCCTTCCAGAATCTGCTTCCGAGTTCCGTGCTCGAGAGGCAAGTATACGGGCACGAGACAGTTCTCCTGCTTGTTTTTCAAGAGCAACCGCCTCTAACCATATGGTCTCGGACCCTGGATTGGAAGAAAAGGCTTCATGTAGAACCGCCCTAGCTCCATCAGCATCATGATGTCTCCATTTCTCATTAGCTGCTAATAACCAAAGTTTCTCTGCACGAGGACAATATGCAACAGCTCGTCGTAATAACTCATCGACTACCATGAAAGAACCATGTTCCTTCTCAAAGTGTGCGGCTTGGAGCCAAAGATTATCTCTACCGGGAAAAGTAGATACAAGTCTAGCAAAAAGTGCTCGAGCACAAATGAAATATCCTTCTTTCTCGGCAGTTTCAGCATCACTCAACCAAATCCGCTCTCTATCTACCTCTTCAATTCCCAAGTTGCTTGAAAAGTGAATAATATCACGGGCAGTTCTATAATATCCACCAGATTCCGATTCTTTTGCTTCCTTCAACCATCTGTCACGATCTACAATTTTTTGCTTAATAGAAAGTGTCTTTACAGCCCTCTCAATAATTCTTGTCACGCTGCTTTGTGAACTCTCATTTTTTACTTCCTCCAAATAAATATCAAATAAATTATTTTGGTCTATTTTCTTAACCTGCTCATCATTCAAAATATCTGTAGATATGGACTGTTGTTTACTTTCGTGTGCTTCTTCTAGTTTGGCTGCAGTAATCCATATAAGTGGCTCAGCTGGTATCGCTTCTCGAGCTTTGTTCAATATAACTTTTGCATTTTCATAACTTTCCAAACGTGCCAATGCTATCCACAATTCCGTTGCATGTGGAACACATTCTACTGCCCGTGTTAACAGAATTCTCGCACCTTCCGGAGGTTCAAGTTCAATAGCTGCACTCCAAAGTCTAACAGATGTCGGAATGATTTCCAAGGCTTTTCGTAATATTCTCTTCTTTTGGGTAAGGTCTGATTCAATTGCTGCAGCTTGAAGCCATATCTTTACGCTTCCAGGAACACGTCCTCGTTGAACAGCAGACGCAAGTACTTGTTTTGCTTGTTCCTGTGGATATAAACGAGCTGCTTCAAGCCACACATCTTCGGAAGTTGGGCACTTTTGACAACCTTCCGTAATCAGTGCACGTGCGTCAGTGATTCTTCCCGCAATTTCTTCCAATCTTGCTGCAGCAATCCAACCAGGAGCATGTTTAGGATTGGTGGATGTAACAGACTTGAGAAGCATTCGAGCTTTTTTAACATCGCCAATTTCTGACTCTGAAGTTATGCGCATTCCCGCCAATTCTGTAAGATAGCCTTTAGGGTCTACCACAGTTTGACCAGAAACAGAATCCGATATTCTATCCAACTTTAAACCCAGCACTGCACCACGACCTTCTCCGATAGAAGCCAAATCCGTAGAGATTCCCTGAGTTGTTGACAATGTGCCAATACTCGAGTCAAAACTTCTTTCTTTATGAGCACTTTCAATGACCGAATCTGGAACTGGAGTGTATTTTTCAAGTTTTTGTTTCTTGACTCTGTAATCTCCAATTTCTGGTATTGAGGCCCATTCTTCTTCAGATACCTGTGCAAGGCCTCTCTTCAAGTCCGCAAATTGTTGTTCTAGAGAAGGATTCTCACTTCTGTATCTCTTTAGTTCTTCGTTAATTCTTTCCTCTCGTTGTCTTTGTCTTCTACTTTCCATTCGCTTTTCAACAGCTTCGTAAATTTCGTCAGCTTCTTTATCGTCTTCGTCGTAAACGGTATTGGCAAACAGACCCTGGTCCTCGTCATCCAAAGGGCGACCGTCATCATCCTCTTCAACAGGCTCGTCATCGTATTCTTGTTGCTGGGATATAAAGGACCTTGCTGCTGCTGCCTGTCTTGCTAAAGTTTCTCTTCTTGTATCTCCCAAACCTCTTCCTCTACCAGCAACATAACCCGGAGGTGGTGTACCAAACTTTGCACCAGCGTCAGGAACAGGCATTTCGCTGAATTGGTTATTCGCCCTTAGACTATATTCAGGGTTTGTAACAAATCCTGTTGCACCTCTACCTCTTCCAGGAATATAATCTTGAGGAGTTGGCTCTTGAAAGGTTTTTGGAGGTCTATTCAACATTTTCAGGACTTGTCACACTATGCCAATCAATGATGAGAATGAGGAAGTTTGTGAATTGGCCAACATAAGAATGGAAAGCTGGAAAGAGAGAAAGCAACAGGGTTGTAAGTCACTAGTACATTTGTGATACGTTGTATGTAAAAGAACCTTTTTACATTTATATTTGAGAGTATAGAGTTATAGATAGGACCCTCAAGGTCATAAGAGACTCTCCCGCCCACCTCCTTCCTCATTCAACTTGAATTGCCCGCTCTACGATATGTTTTCGTGGCCACCCAACTACGAAGAACAACAAGACAGAAGAGTTTCTATGACCTCCATGAAAAGAGATAAATATGAAGAACATTCAAAAAAAGCTGACGAGAATAGCGAAACAGTTTTGGAAAGCTTCGTTGAAATCCAAGACCTTTCACAAGGTAAAAAGAAAAGTGACTTGGCGTTTTCTTCAAAGAGCAGTGCAACGTTTTCAGTGAGAAGCTTCAATCAGACTAAAAATATAAATTGTACAGGTGAAGAACAACCTTTGCTACCTCCTCATGGAACTATTGTCCATCTATACTCTTCTGAAGACTCACAGTTGCTATGTGCAAAATGTGTCAACGAAGTTTGGTACTTGGACTACGAAAATAGTGGCGAAACAGGTTTACCTGCGACACAATTTATTCTCATGAGAGCAAATGGATGCCTTGGATTCCGTTCTTGTGTTGCGAATGGTTGCCTTTTGCAGTGCAATACCAAACACGAGTTGCGTTTCACAAACCCCAAGTTTGAACTGTGGGAAAAGTGGGAGTATGAAAATAACGGCATCCGCAACGCAAAATTCAAAAAGATCTTCATCCCACTTAGAATAGTACCTTTTTCTTTGAAAGCATCCAGCAGAGAAGAGCTTCTAGAGGCTTGGGAACAAAGTCAAAAATCATTGGACCAGTCTCGTGCACGAGAACGGTCTTTGCAAGATGAACGGAACAAATTAACTGAAGAAATAGAACAACTCAAACGAAAAATTCAAGACTTGGAAACAGAAAAACGAGACCTTGTCACAGAGAATAAGAACAGGACAAATGAACTAAAGTCACTTCAGATTCAACTCGAAAAATTGGAAAATTCCTATCATCGAACATCTCTCAATTACAATTCCTCCTTGGATCACATTCATAGCCTTCAAAAGAGAGTTGAAGAGCTAGATACTCAGAATAAGACACTGCAGGAACAGGTAAGTTTGTAAATTCTTCGATAGAGATAGAAACTTCATTCTTGAATAGATTCAAGAGCAAAGCAATCTTGTTGAGTTATGGTCAGAGAGATGCAAAGCGGAAGAAGAGTATAAAAATGATTTTTCGAGGCGCCTTCAAGGTACATTTCTAGATTTCATATTTTGTTATCCATAGTTGACCTTGATTATTTCTAGTCAAAGAAGAGCAAGTCAGTGAACTTGAAGTTGAAGTTATGAATCTCAAAGAGCAGGTAAAGTCCAAAGAGAGGTTATTAGTTGCTGCACAAAAGAATCTTCGTTCATTGCGAGAGACTCTTTCTAATGTTGATATTTCGGAGACTAGTAAACGGAAAAAATCAGAACACGAATATAATTCATCGATTCCGGATATTCCTGGCAATATTGATATTTAGTAACTTTACAGTTAAGTCGTTTATTTTACTAGTTGGGAAAAGTGGGAATATGAATAAATGATTATATTTAAGTTCATCAACGAATTTTTATCGTTGTTCGTAGTGTTTTTTGATATTTATTTTAAATACGATAATTTTTAGGAGGCATTTGCATATAATTGAAGTATGCAGCTTTAAACTGTTCAAGAAAGATGAAAGTAAATATTGTTTGTGGTCCAAGTCGTAAAAAATAGGGAATGAAACCCTTCCAAAGAGAAAACAAGCCTTCATATCTTGTTGTTTTCCATATACAATCCAGCATTCCTTTATAAGGAGGCCCTTTGCTAGTTTCCATATTTTGCAATCGAGTCTTGGCGACATCGAATGGAAGACTTACTAAACTGGCAATGAGACCAGATATTGTAGAAGCACTTATATGTGCAGCAATTCCATCTTTTAGAAGTTCTGTATCAATAATAACTTCTTTTGCTTGATCATAACTTGCCAATTGTGCTGCATTCAGAGCCATGGCACGCCCTACTGTTGGTACGCAACCTCTCCATAACGTTATCACGCCTTCTTCGCGAACAACTCTTATCAAAGCATCAAATACATGTTTATAACTATGCCGCATGATGAGTATTCAAACTTTTCTATCAAAAATTCACATTTCATACCCACGACGCTGTTCAATTGGAAGACGTCCATCAGCAGTCATTCGGACTAGCTGCAAAAGACAAGTTAAGCAACTCAAGAGTGAAGAACATGAAACGTACGACAACATCTGCTGGAGTCCCAACAAGAGCTCCACAAGCACCTGCTGTAAGACCAGCTATCACCTTGAGATGAAAAGCAGGAGAACCTCCAGAGTGTGTTGATAACTGTTCTTTTACGACTCCAAAAACTCCTAAACGGGTAGTTGTGTATGTCACTTGACGCAATAGAGCAGCAGATAATCCTTGATACAATCCAAAGAAGCCTTCTCTGCGAACTATAGTCACGACAGCACTGGAAAACCCTCGATGGTCTGCAGGTCTTCCTCCTTCCCCAGAAAGCTGCAGTCTTGTCTTTAGCAAATCAAAAGGTTGAATGATCAGAGTTGCACATATGCCGCTACATTATCGTTGAGAAAACCTGACAATACAACGAATACAAAATACCTCAAGCCTCCGAATAAAAACTGCAAATAACTCGGTAGAGGTTGGTTTCTTGTTACAGTGGTGGTGGTGGTCATTTCTCGCTGAAAATGTCTTGTGGAAATATTCCCTTTTCGGAATGTGACCAAGTAAGTTGATCTATCAATCGAATATCTTATGCCAAATAAGAAAACCAATCTTGAATTCTTTCAAGTATTTGAATATTCTAGAACCTCAACTGCATTTATATTTTGGAAGGAAATAGTTACTTAGTAATTCAATGAGTAGTCACCATATACAAAATTATATTCTTACAAGGCCAAAATTACAAGTCTACTTTTCTATGAAAACAATATTTGTTGCCAATATTTAGATTCAAGCAATTTTCATATTCTTTAAACAATTCAAAACTTTTGAATTGCTTTTGCTTTAAAGGACTCTTATGTAGAAGAAAGAAAATTCGTTCAATTGTCGACGATCGATGATCACATCACTAAGAAGAGCAAAGGATATGGTTTCTAGTTTTGAAGAGTTGGGACTTGGACAATGGATTGTAGAAACTTGTAAAGCATTGAATATTATGAAACCAACACCTTGCCAAGTAGCTTGTATTCCACAAACGTTGAATGGCAAGGACATCATTGGGTCCTCTGAGACAGGAACGGGTAAAACCATGTCATTTGTATTGCCCATCGTCGATAAGCTTAGTGTGGATCCTTGTGGCGTTTTTGCCATAGTTCTAACTCCAACAAGAGAGTTAGCTTTTCAGATATATGACCAGTTCAAAGCTATAGGTAACCCTATGTCTATTAGAGTTGCTGTAGTGGTTGGCGGCCTGGAATCGATACGACAAGCTACGGAGTTGGAGAATAGACCACATGTTGTGGTAGCAACTCCCGGCAGACTAGCAGATTTATTTACAATCGAGGATAGTGTTGAAAGATTCCATTTGCATTCCATACGATTTCTTGTGTTGGATGAAGCTGATCGTTTATTAGAGGACGGCTTTGCCTCGTCTCTCTCTACAATTCTAGATGTCTTACCTGTAAATAGACAAACTTTGGTTTATTCTGCAACAATGAACGACAAAATGGAACAACTTTCAAAAACTTGTCGAAGCGAATGTTTTATATACACAAGTTCCTCTTCGAGATACTCGCAAGTTAGGGAATTGGAACAATTCTACTTGTTGATACCTTTTCAGATGAAAACTTGCTATCTAGCTTATTTACTTTTGTATGGATTTCCTTCATTTTCGTGCATAATATTCACTGGTTCTTGTAAAAGATGTCAACATCTTTTTCTGACGTTGGAATATCTTGGTTTGAATGTTGGAGTGCTTCATTCGAAGATGAAACAAATGGAACGATTAAAGGCCATACATAACATTCAAAGAGGAACAATCAGAATACTTATTTGTACTGATGTTGCCAGTCGTGGATTAGATATACCACAAGTTGAACTTGTTGTGAATTATCATATTCCATCCAAGCCAAGCACCTATATACATCGTGTAGGGAGAACTGCAAGAGCCGGTAATCGAGGCAAGGCAATTAGTCTTGTCTCACAGTTTGAAGTAGAAATATTTCGTAACATAGAACGAAGACTTGAACGTGAACTTGTAGAATTTGGTCATTGCAAAGAAAAGGAAGTTTTGAAAATATTAACTGATGTTCTAAAAGCAGAAAGAAAGGCAAGTCTTGTTCAATTAACGACAGAAACCATATTAAGTTTTGCTTTAGGCGAAATTGAAAATGTTGGGTATGAAAGTCTAGTTTGAAAGGTATTCCTTTCTTGAAATGATAAAGTAACGAGTGAATACTGAGAAAATTTTCAAGCTTTTGTTTTTGTATCCTTAATGATAGATTCATATAAAGTCTACTTTCCCTCTTCTGCAATTGTGAAATCAAAAGCCTAATGATGTATATCGCTAGGATCCAGTCTGCATGGCAACTTCGTAGTTGCTTTCTTTATATTTGTTTCAGTATTCCAAGTATCAAGTTTTCTTCTTTAGCTTCAAGGGCCAAAAGTAAATACAGTTACAAACCAAAGTTTTGGTGTTTCTACTGTTCGTGTAACGAGCAAGAGAACGCCAACTACTCCCATATCAAGTTTGAACCAAAAGGACGAAAGGACATAAGACGATGTTTGATAACACGTAGAGTGCTTCCTAAAGACCAACTTTGGAGAATTGTAAGGACACGAGATGACAGTGGAAAGTACAAGGTTCAGTTAGACGCAGGGAAGGGAAGGTCTGTATATGTGACAAAAAGTGTACAAGTCGTTGAACAAGCTCAGAACCGGTTGAAACTTTTGAACCAGTACTTGCGTTGCACTATTCCAAGAGTATATCTCGCAGAACTGCTCGAACGCAGTAAAAAACTTGACAAGAATTACTTATAGGCAACGATATCTGCAACAAAATTTACTCAAAGACGTCATTCCTTTTATAAACTAAAACTCCAAGCTCACGAAACTGAGCATAAACGAATCCAGAAAGAGAGCTTAATAAATACAGAAGCCTATCCCGAGCCTCTTCGATATTATTCTGCGGACTCAATATCTTCCGCACATTCTTCCTACAAATCGTTATTCACGTGCATTAAAAGTATGAGTATTTGTTTTAAGTACCTGCAACTTTTGAAAAATAGGGAGCCGACTTCTAGGACTCGTACTTCTCTTGGCAGGAAGCAGGCCCTCAACAGCGTAAAGAAGATCTGTCTCTAAACCATCAAAGGACCCACGTCTACGATGAATAAATCGACAACGAGAACCATAAGGACAGTTTCCCTCCTATCAATTATTATTTCTATTATTTAAACTTTTTATACAACGCTTAACATACTTTCATAAAGTTCCTGCAATATCTTGTTTTGTATTTGGGATGCCGCTTCACTTGCCTCAGCTCTTCTGTACCATGAGCAAACTGACATTTGACTCCATAACGGCAAAAACCCGTTTCCATAAAGGAACGACATCTACAAATAGTGAATAAGGCAGTAATAACCAAAACCTTCTATAACTTACAATTCTGTTTTATACAGTGTGTTTCTCTCAGCCACTGATACCAAAGAATCTGACATAAACGAGGCATTGTTCGTAGAGGATTGTTTTTTAAACTCTGCATTAGGTTCCTCTCGTTCATACCCGTCAGCAGGATGCCCCACATAAGTTCTACTCTCTTGAGCTGGATCCACCTGGTCACCACGTAATCGTCTGAGAGAAACATTCTCTTTAGTCAACTTATTAGTTTTATCCTTTTCTTGTTCATATTCTTCCAGTTTGCAACTCTGAATGACCTGTGGTTCTTCCTCCAGTTCAGTTGTTTCAAAGCTACCAAAGCTGTAGCGTTCAGTAGTCTTCCAGTTTAGTTGACTCAAGCTTAAACCTTCCACATGGAGAGAGAGTGATTGGTCTAAGTTCTCCAGAAACCCTTTTCTATTCGGTTCACTTTCAATAGAGGTTGCCTCCCAACTCAACGGGGCTGCCTTGACTTTATTGCCGTAACAACTTCCTGCTTCTGGAAAACCCATCAAACGACTCAAACGCCCAGTTTCAATGCTATGCACAAGTTAAAACGGCGTTATCCGCAAAAACTCTAAACACTATTGAGTTTTCTATGTACACTAACTCAAAGAAGCACGAACAGAGCTTCGTCCACCATCCCAACAAATTGGACGATTGTCTATTCCAAAAAACAAAACGATTAGACTCAAAGACTCTAGCTGCAGTTTGATAGGAATTCTCCTTTACTTGTCCTTTTTTACCTTCATAGCCTTTGAAAATTGAAATAGAAGCTTTCTCTGAATGCTTGCACTATTTATTATAGAACCTCGTGACTGATCAAAATGTCATTTTTCTTCATACATTTGGCGCCATTGTATTCCATCATTACCAAAAGCTCATGAAGATTATCAAATATTTGTTATTGAAACTGAAGAAAAGGATATCTGAAAATTATATAGGAATGCTCTTTTAGCTTTGTTAGCCTTACTCATACTTTATGTTTGAAACGACGTCATAAGAATGAAAGTGGTTTTGAGATAACTTTTTATCTATTGTTTTAAACAAAAAATATTCGACAAATAATTGCCTTGTGTTTTACTCAAAAGTCGTCTAGGCCGTCTCATTGACAAATTGAATATATTGCTTCCTGTTAGTCGTTGTCTTCGGCATATGGAAACAGTGGAGAAGGGACAACCTTTTCCTTGTATAGAGGCTTCATCTGCCTCTTTAAGAACGAGTAACCCAATTAGAGAAGTTGTTGACCGTATTGATACTTCACAGATGAATAAGAGCAAGCCGATGATTCCACTTTCCATCGGTGATCCTACTGTCTTTGGAAACCTCAATGCTTGCGAAGAAACCATCCAGGCGGTTGTAGAAGTGACCAAATCCTGTCAGGCAAATGGCTATCCAAAGGCGGTTGTATGTTGGAGGGCTTTTGTGAAATCCATTCTAACTGCAGTGTAGGGTATGATAGAAGCACGAACAGCCATTGCGAAAGAATTTACAGTTCCCAATTGTTCTTTAACTCCAGCTGATGTTATTTTAACAAGTGGTTGTTCGCATGCACTGCAATTATGTCTGGAAGTTTTGTTAGAACCTGGAAAAAACATCCTCATTCCCAATCCAGGTTTTCCTCTTTACAAAACGATATGTGGTGCGGTTTTTTCTGTTAACAAACGCTTCACCATATTTATGTTTTTCTTCATAGATTATATAGGAGCTGAAACGAGGGGTTATAAACTCTCTCCTGAAAGAGGATGGCAAATAGATTTAAAACACTTACGTGCCTTGATAGATTCGAATACCAGGGCAATACTGATCAATAATCCATCAAATCCTTGCGGTAAGAAAATAGAAGATGATATTATGGTAATAAAAGTGATTGGCTCATGTGGAAAAATAGGTGCAGTTTATCCAAAGTCTCATCTCTGTGAGATACTCAAAGTTGCGGAAGAAGCAAAACTTCCTATTATTGCTGACGAGATTTATCATCAAATTGTTTTTCCAGGAAACGAAAGTATTCCTATTGCGTCCCTTACGAACGTTGTTCCTGTGTTATCTGTTGGCGGACTTGCAAAGCGTTTTCTAGTTCCTGGTTGGCGACTGGGTTGGATTATTGTTTATGATCATCACAATGTCTTCTCTCAAGTAAGAGAAGGATTAGAACGTTTATCTACTCTTATTATGGGTGCTAATTCGTTGATCCAAGCTGCATTACCAAAGATTATCCAAAATGTTCCCACTTCTTGGCATTTGTCTGTTTTGAGAAATTTACATATGCAAGCGAACTATTCTTATGAACGTTTATCTCATATGAATGGTTTGGAACCTGTTATGCCTCAAGGTTCCATGTATATTATGGTTGGGATCCAAATTGAAAAGTCGCGAGATATCAAAAATGATATTGATTTTTGTCAAAAATTGTTAAATGAGGAAAGCGTTTTTGTTCTTCCAGGACAGTAAGTTTTTACTTTGTAGTTGATGAGAGATTTATGTTTTGTGCAGATGTTTTGGTGCAAGCAACTATTTTCGTATAGTGTTTTGTGCTCCTATGGATAAGTTGGCAGAGGTTGGTGTGCTTCAAGATGTAATGAAACTCTATTTGCTCATTGGGTACCTCCGTTTGTTTTTTCAGGCTTACAATAGAATGAGTGACTTTTGTAGAAGACATATGAGAAGTTGATATACTCCACTAAAGCTATGTTATTAAATAAATTTATAGATCGAATTCATCATTTGCTTATATTCTAACTCTTTGTTGGATGCTTTCAAAGATTCGATTCGCTACAACTTCCGTTTTGGGACTTTTTAATGGACTGCGTTAGGTTAACTTACCATATGGGCTATTCTTTCTATTTGTTTAAAACATATTGACAATGAGGACTAATTGTAGTAACTCTCTCATCAACAGATAAAGAAAGCAAAAGAAGACATTTTGATGCAAAAAATTAAATAAATATAATACAGCAATATTCACTGATGATGTCAAAATAAGGTATTGGAGGAATAACTTTATAGGACAAAGATGTTTCATAGAGACATAACGATAACGAGAATTTTCTTATCCCTCTGCAAAAAATGAATATAATCATTATATACAGATATGTAGTTTGATTGAAATGTCCTTCATTCCATTCTGCTTGAAAAATTTGGCTCAGTTTCCATCAACTTATTGATATCGACGAGATTTTCCAACAGGCATCAAGTCTTCGATCGACCCGGGTGTTGAGGAGGCTCGAATTTCCTCCATAAGTGCTGCTGCATCTGCCGCAGTTTCATCTCGTTGCTGCTTGGTTTTGTATTCATCTTTCAACTCATATTGCCCTCTCAAAGGCCCACTTCTATGAATTTGACATACTTCGTTGACAACAGTCTTTAGACGACTTGTGGGTATCTGTATTTCGTTGTTTAATTCTCGAATACTCCTATTCAAGTTTTCAATACAATAAACGAAATTCACCAGAGAAACATACCATCTAGGCTTTCGTTCAAATAATTGAAACAGCTTGAGCAGACAGTTTTCCTTCCACTCACTATTTCCTGCTTCCACGACTCTACGATCATCCACGTTCTTTCTCTTTCTCTCTTCAAATGCTTGAGTTGCTTTCCAATGCTGACCTGGCTTCAAACCGTCTTCGTGTGCATAAAGCAAACTTTCCTCGTCAAGAAAGTTTGTTACTCTATTTGGTTTGAGCTGTTCTTGAAGTTTACGTTCTAAATTGCCTAAGTATAAACAAAATAAAAAACTACCTTGCTTACGTTTCAACTTGTAGTCACCACTTAAGGAAGTTTGAACAAAACCTTGTCGCTCCACAGTTCCTTCCAGTTTCACTTGACCTGTCTCGTCATCTCTTAACTGACTAAATACTATCATAGAAGGCCTTTCGGGAATGAATTTGAGTTGTTTTTCCTCCATTCTGCCAGCTTCAACTGCGACAACCAGTTTCTCACCTTCCTTATTTCCATGCTTAGAAAGCAACAAATAAGACTTGGAAATGTTGTTCTTTGAACAACTATCTTCTAATTGTTGAAGTGTATTACGCGGTATTTTTAAAACAAGTACTCTTTTTGATAGGCCAGAGTTATCCACTTGACCTGCTAAGGCTGACGCCATGTTTGAACAATAAGAATCCAAAAAAGAATTGGAGTTGATGGAACCTCCGCCTGTTAGTACGCCGGTCATCACGGGCTTGCTTGTTATAGGAGTCTTGTTGTTGATATTTATTCCTGGAATATTCTGCCTCTTACATGTTCAAGCACCAAGTAGTTTTGAGCCAGTCACGAAGAAGAGACAATGACTATATAAGTAGATTGGAGAGCAAGTTGGTTATTTGACTAAAGAAGAAGCCTTAAGGTGAAGTTGTATGACGAGACTAGTTTTAGATATTGCACTATGATTAATAATTATTTGGGCATATACAGGTGCTCTAGATGTCACGAGAGGCAACAGACACTTAATATCAACTTGAAGTTGAGTTTTCGAAAGTACCTTTCTTTGGAAAGGATTAAAGATTGTAATGCTTTCACTAAAGATGGAGTGCCTTTTATTTCTATTTGAATGCGTAGTATGCAAAAGGATTTTGCCACTTTTGAGTTGTATGAAAAACGAAACTCCTTTGTTCTTAACTGCACCGTACCTGATGGGAATAATTGGTTTATGCTCTTTCTCGTTTTGTGTAGGTAGTGAAAAGATTCAGAAAGTACAAACATTTTCACAGATAATTGTACCACCAAATTTTGTCTGTGTTGTTTCTTTAGTAAATGAGTATCACTTTTATAACTCTATCAAAAGTAATCAATTCTTTTCCATTATGACAATATTGTTGATGATGGGCTTCATATGTGGTGGACAGGGCGGTTGTGAGAAGTCATTACAGTTTAGAAATAGCTTTCTCGGCAAGGACAACTCTTTTTTGGAAAGAAATAACAAACTAGTCAAAGTTTACAAAACAGCAGCTTTCAAAAGCCCTAAGAAAAGTCTAACAGTTTTTGCTGTGCAGACAAAGCCAGTTGACAACTTAGGCGACACTTTTTCTCAGAAAAACTCGAATCAAGTCAAGGTGACACAAGTCCCGGATGTACATGGACATTTTGGAAGATATGGGGGACAGTTTGTTCCAGAAACTTTGTTTTTTTGCTTGGAAAACCTTGCCAAATGCTTTGGAGAAACCAGGAACGATCCCATGTTTCATAAAGAACTAGACCTGCTTTTAAAAGACTTTGTAGGTAGGCCTAGCCCCTTGTATTTTGCAGAGCACCTGTCATCTAGATACGCAAGAAAGGATGGCTCTGGACCAAGAATATATCTCAAAAGAGAGGATTTGAATCATACAGGAGCGCACAAAATTAACAACTCGCTTGCCCAGTGTTTACTTGCTCGAAAGTTAGGGAAAACGCGAGTTATAGCAGAAACTGGAGCTGGGCAACATGGTGTGGCAACAGCAACAGTATGTGCACGGTTTGGTTTAAAGTGTGTAGTATATATGGGAGCAAAGGATATGAAAAGACAGTCTCTAAATGTTTTTCGTATGCGTTTACTTGGTGCAGAAGTTAGAGAAGTTACTGCTGGTACGGGAACACTCACCAACGCGCTTTCTGAGGCTATCAGAGATTGGGTTACTTACCCTGAAGAAACTCACTATATTGTAGGCTCAGTATCGGGTCCTCATCCATATCCTTTGATTGTTCGTGAGTTTCAAAGTATTATTGGAAAGGAAACAAAACAACAAGCAAAAGAGAAATGGGGTACTAGTCCAGATATTTTGATTGCTTGTGTTGGTGGGGGTTCCAATGCTATGGGGCTTTTTCATGACTTTGTTGAAGATCCTAATGTGAGATTAATTGGAGTTGAGGCTGCAGGGGAAGGATTAGGGTCTCAAAAGCACGCTGCAACGCTGACATGTGGTCAATTGGGAGTCCTTCATGGTGCAATGTCTTACGTTATTCAGGATGAAGATGGCCAAATCAAGGAAGTGCATTCAATATCTGCAGGTTTAGACTATCCAGGCGTGGGACCGGAACATGCTTATCTAAAAGACACAGGACGTGCGGAATATTTTGCAGTTACCGATAGAGAAGCAATACAAGGCTTTAAGTTGCTTTCTAGAATGGAAGGCATTATTCCTGCTCTAGAAACAGCACATGCAGTGGCTTATTTGGATAAACTATGTCCAACCTTGTCAGGAAGTCCAAATATAGTGCTATGTTGCAGTGGTAGAGGTGATAAAGATGTGCACACAGTAATGGATTACTTGAAAGAAAACGGTGATAGTGATATCCATTTGGATGACCTTTAAGATTGAGTCATTGTTAGAATACTATAAAGTGAATCTCTATATATTCATTAAGTTTCCTTCTCTGTGAGATATAGAGTATCGATGTTGATTTGCAACTTTAACTAAATTTGCTTCGATTGTTTTGAAACCTTCCTTTGCTTTCGATTGTTAAATACGTGAATACTTCCATCTATGCTTCTTCTTTTTTTCAAATGTGTTCTTTCTGTTAGCAACACTTGTCATACAAATGGCCCTAAGACAAGTGTCTTCAGACCTCAAGATTGTAATCAAATAGTAAGTTTTTGAGTTTGATCCTTGAAAAATACTTTGAGGTGACGAACCATTTTAGGAATTAAATATAAAACTAAAGCTATTGGTTTCTCGGTTTGAAATTTACTACAAAGGATCTTGATTTTTTAGAAAAAGACAAGGACAATTTTGCCATCAACCATATGTATTCGAATACTAGTTTGAAATACTCCGAAATGTTAGGAAAATGTGACATCTAATACTATCCCAACTCACTAATATTATCCACCTCCTACAGTTTGTCAAAGACCCATGGAGAACAGAAGTGCACTTGCAATAGCTTATTGTAGAAATTCTAGAAGAACTGGGACAAAGAATGCTGTGATTAGCTAGAATCTAGAAAATGGAAAACAAGCTGGCAGCGACCTTGAATAGTGGTGGTCCATGGCTTGTCATTTTGGAGTCATTTGGACATGATGGCGAAAAGTGTTTCTGGAAACAATCTTTTCGAGTTGAAGCGACAAATTAGACATTTTAAATAGCCATTTCATTCCATTTTGTTTTTATCACTCTTTGAAAATTGTGAAGGAAGCAAGTTGAGCATCAACTAAGAAATAGTAGACAATGAGTTACCAGACAGTAGTACAAAATTCCATCATTGCAAGCTTCCTTGTTTTATTAGGAATTTTTTGCTTAGCTCCGGGTTTGACATTTGTGGAAGGAACCAATCAGGCAAATGAACAAAGATGGCATCAGACAGTAACGCCAACACAGACTCAAGAATGCCAACGGGTTAGAAAAATGGATGGTATCATATTGGAATTTGTTTGACTGATTTTCCTTGTATATAGTTATGCGTTACTGCTACTCAGACGCAAGTACAAAGCTGCATCTATACAAGCACACAAGTTCCTTATGTTTCGCAATGCGTCACCGCTGTTCCCACTACTTGCTATAAATATGTGACTAAATATAAGCAAGTATGTTGCAACCAAGAATATGAACAGCAATATGGTGAGCAAGAGCAAGAATGTACGGAGGTAAGGCTTTGGATTGATATTGATTCCATGTAAGAATGAACTCATCGCAATGGAACAATAGTACTGCCAATTATCATACCAACAATCTGTCAGCTATCCTTGTCAAAGTCAGGTAAGCAATCTTAGGCTATTTCGTGTAGATCCACTTTCTCAATAAACTATAAAACTTTAGGTATCCTATCCATGCCAGGAGTATCGTCTGATGCAAGTTCAACAGTGCTGCCAGATTCCTAAAGTACAATGCGTGCAACATACCCAAGTCTGCATACAGAAGCAACAGGTACAACAACAACAACAACAACAACAACAACAGCAGCAGCAGGAGGAGGAGGAATATTTACCTTACTACCAATACTACAGTTACTAAATCCAAAAATATTCTTTGTCAATGTGCCAAAGAGCACAAGAGAATTTGAAATAAAGTTGACCATCACTCAATCTTGTCCTTGATTACTTTTCTATGCAAGTCTCTACAAGAGTTGAAAATTCCTCGTTCTATCAATAGTGGCGCATATTAAAAATGCGATCGAATTGTAGTTATGTACAATCTGTTAAGTTTTCATTATTACCCATTAGTTTTTATTCTACATAGAAAGAAGACATTATTATTTTTTACTACTAACCACAAGAAATTCGATAGATATGCAACAATGTCAACAAGCAAAAGCCAGGATCCCCCTTCCAGTGTCGCTATAACTTGAAGCCTTTAAAAGTCACGACTATGGCTTTTAAGTGGCTTTCGGGAGTCACAACCTCCTAGGTTCTGGCGGGCAGTTCACTATTATTATAACGAAATTTTAAAGTCCATGAAGGATGGCAGTTCTATACAGTAGTAGTTCGCCAAGTCGCACAAAATTACAGCAAAACAAGTTTGAAAATACTGCTTGGAAAATAACTAGCAATCAGCGTGATGCGATAAAAACTGTCAATTTCATTCGATAAATACTCCTGGGCTCCAGAAGCTGAGTCCTGGTCTGTGGTCACTTTAAGTCTTAACAAGCTTGATTGAACTGCCTTCATAATGGCCTAACATTATGTCGGAAACTATCAAAATAGAATATTGCAACAAACTCCTTCTGTCCATTCAACCATTTCACTGCACAGCACTGAGTTGAAGTGCTTCTAAAATTGATAAAGGCTGTATTTTTGTATTCTCTACATATTGTTTTCCGTATATATCCTCGTCTTAGCCTTCTTCTCACATGTCACAATAGATTGACTAGAGACTATAACAACGACGCATATGTTACAGTTATGTGAATATGTATAGCAAAAATACTACGGCACAATCGAAGCATCAAGGGTGGAAAACATACTGTTTGCGAGAAGAACCGTGGAATACGGTAACAATCGTAGGCAAGATGGACATAATGTCTTACATTCCACAGCATTCATTTGAATTGAGAAATCTTAAAGGAGGACACAAGAAGATATAGGAAAGCTATACAAAGAGAAATTAGCTACGTTAAAGAGCAGTGATAAGAGACAACTGTCGCCAGAAATAAGACGTAACACTCCAACGGTTTCTCATATTTCAACTTCGAGCTCCGTTGCAGATGTATTAAAGACCAACAAAATCAAAAAGATCTCAGGATGTCATGATCCGTAGCATTGGATTTTGTTACAGTACATTCTTGAGAAATGGTATAGATGCTTCGTCGAAGAATATAAAAGCAGTGCTTTGGCAACTAGGGAAGGCAAATTCTCAAAAAGCTCTGTATTTCTATCAACTACGTACCTTCACTTTTCTTAGAAGACCCATGCAGTTGGCTTCGTTAGACCAGGAGCAGCAGTTTGCGAAATCGTTACCTTTGAAGTGGCCAGAGTTTGTTAAAGAGATCTTGCCAACTCTAGACGTATGTCGATTGATTAAGTGGATGGGATACTTTTTCTAAAGTGTGTTTCTCTATCATAGGCAGAGAAACATAAAGGTCAGTGCGGCCGTATCGCTGTGGTTGGAGGTTCTTTTGAATATACAGGAGCCCCATATTTTTCAGCAATGAGTTCGCTTCGTGCTGGTGTTGATATGGCACATATATTTTGCGAGGATTCCGCGGCAGCTCCGATAAAGACATATTCACCAGAGCTTATTGTTCATCCTATTTTAACGGCCTCCTGTAAAATGGACAAAACTGTGGAGGAAACTTCAAAATATCTCGCAAGACAGGTCGCTGAATGGTTAACGAGTCTGCACTGTGTCGTGGTAGGACCAGGTTTAGGGAGAAATCCGTTGATTTTGGAAACAGTTGCTTATGTTATCGAAGAAGTCACCAAGCGGGTATGTAGTGATATCTTTACCTTTCAGTTCTAATTCTTGTCAGCATATTCCACTTGTGATAGATGCTGATGGGTTGTATTTGTTATCTGTGAAGCCTGAGTTACTAAAAAATGCGACATCACCTGTCATTCTTACTCCAAATCATGTAGAGTTCAATAGACTCACTCGTGCATTTGAAATAGACGATACATCTGATACCGAAAAACTTTTGAAAACACTAGCCAAGTCGTAAGGAAAAATTTGGACTCCTATATATTTTTCCCGTAACCGTATCGAACAGGGTTTGTCCGGGAGCTATTATCGTTCAGAAAGGTTCAAATGACCTGATTGCTGCAGCATTTTGCGACGTAGTTGTACATTGTGTCGAACAGGGAAGTCTTCGCAGGTGCGGTGGACAAGGTGACATACTTAGTGGGTTAATGGGAGCATTTAGTGCCTGGATGCAGATGAACAGAAAGTTAACAACACCAAATGAATGGTAGCTTTCAGCTTGGTTTTGATACAACTCTACAACTAAATTGTCGACAAAGGTTCATCCCAGTTTACAGTGCCTGTGCGATGACCAGGAGATGTTCTCTTCAAGCATTTAGGAAAAAGCAACGATCTATGCTAACAACAGATATTATTGAAGAAATATGGAAGGAGTTCAATACATTATTTCCACTGAGGTAAGGTGAGATAATGCATTCGTTGTACAACTATTGATTCTGCACCGGAAAGTTCACTCTAGTTATTACTGTTCAGTGAAAAGATTTTCATTCTCTGCACAAGTCTTGCTTCGTTTGTTAGGGACCAACTCATGGCTTCCTCCCTCAGATGTTTCACATAAAGCAGCTTGTTCAACGTTGAAATCTTTGTTGGTTTCAGCTCGTTTTCGAGGCTCTACCCTGGTTACCTGTGTCACTGTGTCATTTTGGAAAGTGCTATTCTCTTTCTCTTGATTGGATATTATGGAATCAAAGTCAGCTATTTCTAGTTCTATCTCCTTTAGAATCTCTATACAAAACAGTTTATATATACACCACAAATATATTGAAACTAAGTACCTTCCTCATCATCCAACGATTCCCTTTTATCACTTGCCTGGTCGCCAAGTTTTTCCTTGTAAATGAATATTTAAGTTGTGTTGCTATCATGAAACAACAAAACTAACCTTGCTCTCAGCAATACGTCTTTTGAAAACATCCGCAGCAAGCTTTAGATATTTCCTTGCATTGTTTGGGTCGACCGAACGAAGTGCTAGGTAAATGCTATGATACAACCCCCCAACCATTCTTGAAGAATGGTACCCTTCTTCTTCATAGTACTTGACAGCTGATTTAAAGTCGTCAGCTGCTTGTTCATTATTATCGTTTTCCATTCCAAAATCACCTAAAGTTTCGTAGACGACAGCAAGACGCAACCTTGACTCTGGTAATTTTGAAGTGAGAATAACTCTTGCGCACTCCAACTGTTCCCAAGCTAGTTCACGAATATCCTGCTCTTCTTCTTCGCTTTGTTTCCCCCCTTCCGAATTTGCTTCATCTATCAGTTGTTGTTCAGGTAAAGCAGCTTCCGAAGAAGCTTCCACCTCAGTCTGAATTTGTTCTTTGTCTTCAATATTTAAAGAATCTTCTTCATTTTTAGACTCTTCGGTATCCTCACCGGAAGTCTCACCCTTCAATTGTTTTGAGGTGCTGTCGTCTGTTTCGGCAGACTCCTCTTCTTCTTCTACTTCGTCGGAGTTAGTACACAGTCCCACCACTTTTGGAACCTTAGGACCAAATATCTCCTCATTATTTGACGAGCACTTTATTATTTCCAAGAGAGACTTCCCATAAAGAAGTTGTAACTCAGCGAACCCCCAAGTTTGCTTATCTTCTTCTTGATAATCTTCAAGCTCTTTCAGAGCTGCTTCAACTTTATCAGCTGCCTCCGAGAATTTTCCAGAAGAGAGCATTTGAGAAGCTTCTTTATATAGTTCAGCAACGGACTTCGGGTAGAACTCTAGTTTGTTTAAGACAGAGGCAAGCTCGCTGTGGACGCTCATCGTCATCGAGCGCGCGCAATTGCAAATCCAAATTTTGACTTTTTGAAATTCGATAAATTTTATACTAACCGTTAGAATTTCTTTATTAGTGTAACCGTTCTGGAAGCTAATGACATTTCAGCAAAGTGTTGAAAGCGAACATTTTCCTTTTTCTGTTACATTATCCGCCTACATGAATTTTTTATATTTTATCGACAGGAAATATATAAATTCGCATGTCGTAAAATGATAAAGAACCCATAACATACAGTACTAAAAGTATTCTTTTAGAACTGCTAATGATTTTTGAAATCCAAATGGTAATTTGGACCTTCAATTTGTCTATGTAGCATTCACAAAAATTGCATATTCCTTCCTTGAGGCCAAGACTGTTTTATAAGCACAAAATAAAGGTTTGAATTCTGAAGATGTCTTTAGATTTACTTTTGCAGGCTATATTCAAATTCATTTGCCATTTACCATAATTGAATCAGTTGTATCTTCCAACAGACAAGTTCCCCAATTGTTTGCTTTGTATTCTTTATTTATACTCTCCCTGTTATTGAATATCTAACACTCATCTCCTTCCTCTTATAACACAACAGTAAATGGTAGATCCTAAGACTCTATATTATCTATTTCTAAGCAAGGATTTGAAAATTTGATGCATTATGACATTTTAAGCAAATTCTAATTGCAGAATCTAACTTTGCAAGATATGCCTATATTTAGAAAACTTGCTCGACTCTACATCTGAACTATTAAACGATGAGTAAACTGAACAATGAACTCCCCAGATTCCGAAAGAATTCACGAAAAGAAAGCTCCACCTTATTTTTTTAGAGATCTGAGTTCAACGATGGGCTTGATTCAGTGTCTTACACATATATTTGAAAATGCTTCAGTATAAACAGCCATTCATCAATATTGTGATTTTCTTTGGATCAACTTCAATTCTTGAGAGAAGAATGCACAGGTTGTAGTTTTTAAAACCGTTCCCCGAAATATTCTTCCCGTAGTTTTGGTGGATTTCCAACCATTTGTCACTCCGGCACGTGAAACGATTAAGAGCTCAAGTTTCTAATGATGAGTGTCTTAGTCCCTTGTAAACATCTCTTGTACAACGAAAGATATTCAAAGATATTCGACTATCGTATAAAATGCACACACCAATAACCAATGAAGCGATCAAACTCTTCTTGCATAATATATTCCGCAACACCACATGAAACATTATGTTCTGAAAAGGTCAAGCGAGTTTCTAAACTATCGTTTACACATAATAACCAAATATCACCATCACGAATAAAACTTATATAACGACCATCAGGACTCCATTTTGGATCTAAATATCCTTCCTATTGTTCATAAAGCTTCAAAAATGGGACTCAAAGATATAAAACTACTTAGTACCGATGCTTGATAGGAGTTGAAGAGTTGAAAAGCTTCATCCAATGAAGAAGAAGAACTGGGATTGCTATAAGAGAAAACATCCAAATGTGTGCCTTGTGGTAATAATAAGCGTTGAGTAGAGGGATGAAATAAATAACAACATAATCCTTCGAACTAAATAGCGACACTAAG